GGCTCGAACCCGTGTCCCCTGCACTGGCAGGAGGATTCTTAACCACTGCACCACCAGGGAAGCCCCTCTCACCATCATTTACTTAAAACTCCTACAATTCTGGAGGCAAGAATTACAAAATCAATATCACTAGGCCAAAATCAAAATGTTGGCAGGGCTGCACTCCTCTAGAGGAACCAGGGGAGAATCTGTTCCTTGCTTTGTCTAGCTTCTGGTGGCTGGCTGCCAGCATTTTCTTGCTTGTGGCCACATGATGTCAATTTCTTTCTTCCTTTTCTTTTTTTTTTTTGGGCTGAGCTGGGTCTTCATTGCTGCACACGGGCTTTCTCTAGTTGCGGTGAGCAGGGGCTACTCTTTGATGCGGTGCATGGGCTTCTCATTGCGGTGGCTTCTCTTGTTGCAGAGCATAGGCTCTAGGCATGCGGGCTCCAGTAGTTGTGGCACGTGGGCTCAGTAGCTGTGGCTCGTGAGCTCTAGAGCGCAGGCTCAGAGCGGCATGTGGGAACTTCCCGGAGCAGGGCTCGAACCCATGTCCCCTGCATTGGCAAGCAGATTCTTAACCACTGTGCCACCAGGGAAGTCCCTGATGTCAAGTTTTGACTTGATGGTCACACTGCCTTCTCTTTAAAATCTCCCTCTGTCTCCCTTTCATCAGGATACATAATTGCATTTAGGGTCCACACAATCGAGAATAATCTCCCCATCTCAAGATCCTTAATTATATCTAAAGAACCCTTTCCTTTTTTGTTTTCCCATAGAAGGAAACATTCACAGGTTCCAGGGATTAGGATGAAGATGTCTTTCTGGTGGCTGTTTTGCAGCCTGCCACAACAATCATGTTCAAAATATGGACTTATAAAGACTGTACTCTCGGGGGCTTCCCTCGGGGGCTTCCCTCGGGGGCTTCCCTGGTGGCGCAGTGGTTGAGAGTCCGCCTATCGATGCAGGGGACGCGGGTTCGTGCCCCGGTCCGGGAAGATCCCACATGCCGCGGAGCGGCTGGGCCCGTGAGCCACGGCCGCTGAGCCTGCGCGTCCGGAGCCTGTGCTCCACAACGGGAGAGGCCACAACAGTGAGACGCCCGCGTACAAAAAAAAAAAAAAAAAAAAAAAAGACTGTACTCTCTTCTGCCTCCCCATATTACCTGAAAATCAAAATGTTTTTAATTGTATTCAACTCATCTCTGAAACTGGCCACTTTTCTGTATTACTGTGAATAGCTCCACCAATCCCCAGGGGGCTTATGTATACAACCATGGAATTATCTTTAATATGCACTGCACTACTAATCAAGGTCTTACTAAGCCTTTACAAATATGCCTTCTAAGTCTTTCTTTCGACTTTCCTGCCTCTAGCCTGTCACTTTTCTAGACCATCTAAGAAAAGCTTTCAAGTCCATTTGACCATGCCACTTGTGTGCTCAAGGACTCAGTGGCTCCTTACTTTTTCAGCTGTTACTTCCTATAAGAAACAAGTCCTGAATTTAAAAATATTATAGTCCCTGAATCTTTCCATCTTTAAGGTCACCTCACAGTCCAAGATAGCTTCTGGAATTCCAGCTATTTCCTTTCTCCCTCCCTCTCCCTCTCCCTCTCTCTCTCTCAACAAAATGGGGCCATGTGACTAAGTTTCAGCCAGTGAGATAAAAAAGGGAAGTGTGCACAATTTCTAGGAAAGGTCTCTGGAAGGAAAGGGGTGAGAGCATTTTCTGCCCTTCTCTGCTTATATATATATTTAATACATATAATAATATATAAATATATTTTAAAACTATAAATATGAATTTTTTCCAGGCACCAGGTAAAAGGAAACACAGATGCACAGAAATATATGTATAACTTAATCACTGCTTTACACCAGAAACTAACTTTGTAAATCAACTCTACGTCAGTAAAAAATAGAGTTTTTACCCCCACATATAGTATCTCTCAGCAAGTAGTTACCTTACACTCAAGTCCTAATAAAGTCCCTCTTATTATGGGGAAATCTCTCAATTGCATTACTTTGAGCAAAAATGTATTCTGTGTGTGTTATGTGGCAGGGAGGCTGTACTGAAGAGAAGATAAGTGAGACTGAAATAATCTCAGTTGATCCCATGGTGTACAGTTACAGGGATCCCTGATAGAAACAGTAAAAAAAAAAAAAAAAAAACACAAAGACGAAGGGGGAGCATAACTTCTCGTTCCTTAAGACTGGGCTGTATACAGTGACCTTCCTCCAGAGCACAGTACCCAAAGAGTAATTTTACAATGGAGAAACCTGAGAAACACTGCTTCTGCCAGGTGATCAAGGTCAATCAACAGTCATAACTCACCATGATAGTAAGTAACCTTGATATGATCACTTTACTTCTGTGATCTTCCTCCGCAAAACCCATAATCCCAGTCTAATCATGAGAAAAACAGACTAATTCCAACAGAGGGAGATCTTCCAAAATACCTGACCAGTACTCCTCAAAACTGTTAAGTCATCAGAAACATCCGTTGCTGGATTGTCTTTTTCTTGTTGAGTTTTAAGATAGTATCATATTAAATTACATAATTATATAATAATTATAGTATAGATACTATCTGCAGAAGTAGTATGAAGGTTTTGAATTTTGATGAAATACCATTTATCCAATTTTCCTTTAGTTGCTAGAGTATTTTTTGTGCCATATTTAAGAAATCATCGCCAAATTCAAGGTTGTTTTCTTCTAAGGATTTTATAGTTTTAGCTCTTAAATTTGTCTGTCCTTTATGCCAGTACCACACTGTTTTGTGAATGTAACTTCGTGTAAGTTTTGGAATAAAGGAAGTATGAGTCTTCCAACTTTCTCTTCTTTTTCAAGATTGTTTTGGCCAGTCAGGGTCCCTTGCAGTTCCATTATGAATTTAGGACTGACTTTCCCATTTCTGCAAAAAGGGCCATTGGGACTTTGAAAGGTATTGCACTGAATCTGCGGATTGCTTTGGGGAACATTGCCATTTTAACAACATTAAGTCTTCCAATACATGAATACAGGATCTCTTTCCATTTATTTAGGTCTCATTTAATTTCTTTCAGCAACATTTTTTACTCATGAGTGTACAAGTTTACACTGCCTTGGTTAAATTCATTCCTAGGTGTTCCACTGTCTTAGGTGTTATGTAAATGGACCTGCTTTCTTAGTTTCCTTTTTTGGACCGTTCACTGCTAGTATACAGAAATACAACTGACTTTTATGCTGATAGTCTATCCTGAAACTTTGCGGTATTTACTGGCTCTAACCCATGTTTTGTGGATTCTTTAGGATTTTCTATATATAAGATCATCTGTGAATATGCCTTTTATTTCTTTTTCTTGCCTAATTACTATAGCCTGATTGCACTTTTAAGCAAAAAAATGAGAAAAAGAATTCTAGGTTTGCAATTTCAGCATGGTTTTGAAAGTCTACATAGGAATGTAGATATATTACTTCCCACGTCTGCAGACAGTGTGTCATGAAAAGGACAGGAAGCAGATTAGTCTTTGTAGCTAAAGAATATACACATTTCAGTGTCAACAGCATTTTAAATTATGCACGGTAATAAAACAGATTTTTGCAACTGTTTTGCACTGAATTATTTTAAAATAATTAAGAAACAGAAACAACATTGAGAAGCAATTTTCACCTTTAAAATTTATTACAGAAGCTATAAATATAAAATAAAATCCTAGTTATAAAAAATGCATCTAGAATAAGTTATAATAAACTTCACTAAAAATGAGTACGTGTGTGTGTATGCGAATCCAGGAATATACAGGTACTTAAACGTTTTCAGTGACTTGCATTGCATCACGCATTACATAAGACAGTATCTACTAATTAAGGTATCTGAGTTGAGTTTTAGAAGGCTTTAAATACAATATCCAGATAAAATGACAACAAAAGGCAGTTTAACTCAGAAACTGTATTAGAATCCAGAATCTCTCATATGAGATCATTATTCCCTATTCCCCTCAAAAGAAGTTTCTAACAGAAGCTATTTCACAAACTAATAGTAGAATGTCTCCTAAAAAGGAAAAACATGGGCGGGGGGGAAGGGAGTGAATATGCATGGCAGTGAATGTTTTTATTTCTTTAAGAAAGAAATGTATTTTTGGTATCATTAATACAAAATTTATAATATTTACATAATTGTATATAAAAGGTATCTATAGAATATAACCTAAACACATTTAGAAGGATATAAATAGTTTTCAAATATAAAAATTTCGTGCTATTAAAAAGATGTTTAACAAAGTAGTCATTAATACATTTGTTGTATATATAATCATAAAAGTAAACCGAAAAATATTTAAAATTTTTATTAATCCAAACGAGAATTATAAAAAATGTTTATCTAAAAAGCATTAATTTTGACCTTCAAGTACAGAATTGTGGTGCAGCTAGAAGTTGTTCAAGGGCCCTCCTGCAAATCACTACTCGAACACTAGCTTTTAAGTGAACAGGCGGGGACGCTAAAGGCAGATGGGAGATGGGCACTGAAGAAAACAAAGATGAAAAAGGATGGCAAAGAGACAATGGTTAAATAAGTTTCTAGTCTGACACAATAAACTATTTTTAGGAAGGATAAAATTAAAAGTGCTTAAAACAAAAGAATGTCAATGTCACTACTACTCTTTTTTTTTTAAAGGAACAGACTGCCCTTAAATATAATAGTGTTTATTTATTTTTACTTGTTGACAGTTTGCTTTATTTATTTATTTATGGCTGTGTTGGGTCTTCCTTTCTGTGCAAGGGCTTTCTCTAGTTGTGGCAAACGGGGGCCACTCTTCATCACGGTGCGCGGGCCTCTCACCATCACCGCCTCTCTTATTGCGGAGCACAGGCTCCAGACGCACAGGCTCAATAATTGTGGCTCACGGGCCCAGTTGCTCCGCAGCATGTGGGATCTCCCCAGACCAGGGCTCGAACCCGTGTCCCCTGCATTGGCAGGCAGATTCTCAACCACTGCGCCACCAGGGAAGCCCACTAATTACTCTTAAGTGCCATAAACATTAGTTATCAAAATAACTTTTATATTAAGAGTTGGCCACATTTTAACTACTGATAAGCACAGGAATACTATACTACAGTGACTCAATGAAAATTCCAATATTTATCAGTTATCTCTGTAATTTATCTTACACATGTACATAAATACCAGAAAAGTTTAAATATTTTTATTTACTATTTTAATCTTTTCCTTAAAGATACAGGATTTCATCTTGCATCAGTTATGTCAGCATGACAAAGGAACGGAATATAAAGAATATTTGGTACCATAACATCATGATCTGGAACAACTGTAGTTTTCTATTTCTTGCTCCATTTTCTAGATAAAGGGTAGGAAGGAAAAATAGTAAGTTTCAATATGGAAAAAAATCAAAGAAACATGACTCCATTGCTGGGGTTTTTTTTTTTGCAGTAAACAACCTTAAGGATATTATTATCCATGTATATACCTGATAGTGAAACAGAAACTTTGTCCAGTGTTTATGACTATCACATAGACTGGTATCACTGATGGGACTTCATTATTTAAACCTCTTTGAAGTAAGTCTGAGATGCTTTCATCTTACATTAAATTCATACAGTTATTAATCAAGGCACTGGTGTACATATAGATATTAATACTTTATATTTTGTAGGTACTACTTTACATGTATATTATTCTGTGTAGGTACCATAGTATACTTTATTAGATATACTAAATACTATATCTATTACATGCTAATAGATATATAGTAGATACCAGTTATATATATATATATATATAAAATACTATATAGGTATCAGCCAAACTCTATTTTAAACATTAGTCCTTGAATGCCCACTGTAAAGCAGGATTAAGTAAAGACAAATAGGTCTATGTTAAGTCTGTCTTAAAAAGGAACTATATATCTTCATCAATATACACACAAAATAGATTTTTCATAGTTTACAGATACTACAGTGCTCCATTGCTTATTAAAGAAACACAAACTCATTTAAGTGCTAGATTTAAAAAAGCACAGAACAGTTATACCTAGAAATAATACATAATCCACACACTAAAAGATGGTATTTAAAATTTTTTATAATGTGTTAACTTATACATATCAGTTTACCTGAATAAGTGTCGTTTTGTCGTAATCCCCGCGATGCTGATAAATGCACTGGCTGATTACAGCATACAAATTTTCCAACTGAAAAATATTGTATTCTTGACTTTTTCTAACAACTGTCTTCAAAAGATTCTAAAAGAAAACGTAAGTGTTACATATGTGAGAGAAATTCCCTGAGATATTTTAATTTTGAAGATGTGGGGGCATTTTTAGAATACAAGCCAGAGAGAAGGCAGGCCAAGTCATCTAATGAGACACTGCAGCCTCTGATAATGACTCTGACATTCAGCTGTCAGTTAATGTTATCTACATTCTATGACTCTGGCCTCTCATCCTAAAAACTACAGCTGAGGAGGTTGCCAATTTCAATTCTAGCCATACATCACTGGACACAAATTAAAAAATAATCTCAAATTAGACTAACAGGAAAAAAGGCAACATTTTTGCAGAATATTTTATGGCACTATGAGTACATTATAATCAATTCTGTTATGTGAAATAAAAAGAGACAGTACATAAATGACCTCACCACGTCAGGGTTCTTTTCTTACAAAAAGGAATTTCCATCCACTCAGTGTTTTTTTGTCATGACTGAAATGGACTTACTATTGATAAATTTCTGTGATTCTTCAAGTCTGGTCTTACCTTGATATTCCATTACCTCATAGTTAACCACGGTTGCATGTTTTTGTTAAGTAAAAACCAACTAAAATGGCCATATGTAATGGTCATAAAAACAATGTATGGGATCAGTGACATAGATAAGTATGTTAAAAACAATAATACCAACATACTAGCCATCTCCAACCACTGCCTTTATGAAAGTTATTCTATACCAAGTTTATCCTTTCATAAAAGATCATTATTTATTACATGCCAAATTTATGCAATGTACTATTACAACCCCTCTTTTGGTGGGTTATGTTTCTAACCTGCACAATGAAAGCATTATGATTTCAATTTACATACTTTTAATTGCTTATGGTCCACAACAAGTGAGGGTGTAGGCTGAGAAAGAATTGCCAAAGCCTTTTCAACACTGATGAGCTGCTGTTGCTCTACTTGGGAACGTCTAGCTCGAGTCATTCGCAGAACACACATTTCTAGAACGAAAAAATAAATAACTATTATTTGTTTCATAGACATTTTATAATACCTAAAATAAATATTAGGCAGATTAAATAGCAGGACATATTTACTTAGACACAAACCCCTGTTCTGGTTTATTGACTCTGCTGTAAAATTAAGATGCTGCCATTTACACAATCAAAAATTAAGGACAGGGAATTCCCTGGTGGTCCAAGTGGTTAGGAGTCTGAGCTTCCACCGCAGGGGGCACAGGTTCAATCCCTGGTCGGGGAACTAAGAACCTGCATGCCGCACAGCGCGGCCAAAAAAAAAAAAAAAAAAATTAAGGACATTTCAGAAATATTTTCTCAAATAGAGTATTTCAAGGGATCCTCAACAGATTAGACTGTCTTCTACTTAGGCATAAAACTCAGAATTTAAGAGCTGGAAGGGGCTTCAGTAATCTCGAATAGGAGTTGCAAACTACTATGCATAGGCTAAATATGGATTTAATTAATCCATAATTAAAGTTTTCTTAGAACACAACCATGCTCATTTTACATATGTGTGTCAATGTGGCTTTTCCAGCAGGGTTGAATAGTTGTGACTATCTGGGCCTTTACAGATAAAGTTTGCCTATCCCTGATCTAGAACAATCTATTCACTGAGAGATGAGAAAAATGAGGCCAAAGAAAGGTGAAGACTTTTCTATGGTCAACATACCTAGCTGTTCTAAGAGCCAGGACAAGAACCCAAATCTCCTGACATGGAAACAGGTACCTGTCTCACTAAATAGTGTCCTTTTAAAAAAAGATAATGATAAAAGAAAAAAAAAACTTTGAACCTAACAAAACATACTAAATTATACAGCCAGAGGATTAACATTTAAAATAGACCATTCTAAGATTACTCAAACACACGAGAACTCATTTTAAGGGAGTCCTTGGAAAAGATTTATCTACAGCATATAAGCCACTGAAGAAAACCAGTCTCATTAACTTAGTCAATACTTGTTTTTGACCAAAATAAATTTTTGACCCTGTTACCCTTTTTTTGCTTTGTAAGACTAAATAATGTTTGGCTTTTCCAAAAACCAAACAAATCTAATGCCAAAGGTCCAAAAAGGTGCAGACAGGAAACAATTCTACATGAAAGACTTTGGGAGCAGGATCATTAGAATAAATATAAATAACCTTGGGCTAAACCTACAGTAGGAATAGAGGAATGATGGGGGTGGGTAACAGTTGTTCTACATCACTCAGCAAGAAATCACAGGATAAGAAACTGCTTATCTTGCTTAAAAATGAGAGGGTATCCTGCCAGCTTTTAAAAATTGTATAGCCAAGCACTTTGCTACATGCTTTAGATGAATTACTTTATTCAATCCTCAGAATATCTTATTACCCAGCAACTATCTACCCCAATGTTGCAAATGAGAAAACTGACGCTGATGGGTCAAGAATCTTGACCGAGGCCACAAGCTACTAAGCAGTAAACTACTGTTTGATGCTGTAGTGTGCTTTTAACAACAGTGATTTTACTAGCTCAACAGTTACTAAAGAAAATGCTATTTTTCCTAATTAACTCCTGTACTCTGAAAGACAAGGAAAAAGGAGTAAACTGAGATGGTAATTAACTATTTAAGAACTTTGAATGAAACATCTTTTAAAATTACTAAGTTGCTTGACTGAGACTTACCTTTTGCTTCATTTTCACCAGAAGTATCTGCTATCTGAGAGCTAGAAGCATCTCCATTGCAAGTGATCTTATCTTTCCTCAATTCTGTACATGCTATAGTCTTTCCAGATTCTTCAAGTTGATTTTCAAAACAAGTACTTGAATAATTATCTCCCAATTCCATTTTGCTTTCAGAGTCATTTTGCTGCTTTTCGGCTTCCTCCATTGAAGACTCCCGTGTGTTTCCAGCCGCATTGTGGTCTACGCTTGTGTCTTGATTTTCCTCTGTATCATTCTCAATTTTGTCATCTACGACATTTTGGCCATCATCTTTTGCCCGTGAAATCCTCCTTCGTTTTGTTATGGTGCCTAAGTACCACTTCGACTTTCTGCGGCTTTTTCTCTTCAACGGAGCTTCAAATAATTTAAAGAAAAAGGGTAAGAGAACATTCAACAATTTTTTAAAGTCTAAGTAAGTGGGAGAAAAAAATACCTCCTGCGATATTAAGGGGAGAATCTGAGATATCACCATAGTATTGTATGGTTGGAATACACAAACAAAAGTAGAGAGTTCTGTGAGAAGGTAGAAAGTGGTCAATGGCCTGTCATTCTAAGGAATTTGGATTTTATCTTGAATAATTTTTTAAAAAATCGAATAACTTTAAGGAGGGCAATGACATGACTTGTCTGATGCATATATTACAAAGGTCGCTTTGGCAGTAGTATAAGGAATGAACTGAAGGAAGGGTGAGACTAAAAATAGCTTATACTTCCTGAGTGCTTACCACATAGTAGGAACTCTTCTAAGGACTTTATATGTACTAACTCACTGACATTCCACTTTAACCTGATCAGGTTTGCTACCATTATCGACATCATTTTACAGATGAAGAAACTACAGTATACAGAGATTCAACATTCTGCCTAGACTAGATGCAGTATAACCACACTGCAACCTTATGTTTGGGAGACTCATCCATACTGTTGTATGTACTTGAAGTTTAATAATTTTCACTTTTGTATAATAATCTGTATTTTTCCATATTCTGCTGTTGATCTGCATTGGGTTGCTCCCATTGAATACTGCCTCTATGAACATTCTGTTTAAAAGCATTGAGGAATTATGGCACCAAAATCTGGGAAAACAAATGAATAGCTGAGAGGCTAAGAAGCTGAGGACAGTCTGAAATTCATGGAGCTTAAAGGGCAAAAACTGGAATTAAGAGCTTGCCAAAGAAGAGAGGCCTCAGGAACCCCACAGGATTTGGGTTGGTACTCCATGGAATTATACTCTAAGAATAAAGAGGAACAGGAAACAGACTAGGATTTATAGGAAATAAAAGTCAGTTTCAAATCAAGTCATACCACAATTAGATTGTGACCTGAGAGGTGACAGGTAAACTGGGATTGCAAGTGGTACTTTATTGCAAGCCTGGATTTATTTCAAGAATGAAAAGTTGCCTTACTGTTAATGAAATCAACATAATTCGCTGCATCAATATAGACAAAGGAAACTGATGGAAAAAGTAAACAGCATTAGAGGAGAATAAAGGCTATAGTTTCGCAAGTAAAAATTACGTAAGTGCACTTACCAGGAGTGCTGCAAGCCACAGGAGTACTGGGGGTCTTCAGCTTTTCATTTTTCTCTGGATCTGGTCTTCTTTCACCAGCAGGAGTGGAATTTTGCTTTGGCATTACATGGTAGTAAGATGGGGCATATTTGGAAGAGCTACAACCTTATAAACAGACATGTGGAATATCAAATCAAATTTCCAGATTTGAAAATTACAACAATTAATTAAAAGGACTCAATACATCTAAAGCATCTTTTTCTGATACCAAATCATTTTCCTACCTCTCTTCTTCCTAGATTCCTGAATTTCTTCACAAAGCCGCTCAAAGTCTTCATCAAGTTCTTCTTTAATTATTGCATAGGCAGTATCTCTTAAAGCACAGGCTCTGTGTCTAATAAGACGATCTATGGAATGAAGAAAGAATTTTAAAATGTTTTCGTTTTGCTAATGTAACAAAAATTAACACCATATGTTGGGCTAAGATTATAGCTGTTACAATTCCTTTTTTACTTCTACCATGAATAGTAAAAGTTACTGGAATTGTGTTATTTCTGTTTTTGATGTTAATCTAATGTTCTGGACATCTGATTCAACATGGCAGACTCAACGTAATTTCATTGCCCTGTGCTATCCAGATCCCTTTGAAATACCAGAGAAAACATAAGAATCAATCAGTAGCAAAACTAAACAACATAATGACACAAAAACAGCAAGGAAGGCTATCGGTGTCATGAGTGAACCAGGGATGTAAAACAATTTTGGAAGAGATATAGAGGATGTTATTACATTGACAGGGAAACTAAACAAAGACAATGAAACAGCAACCCTACATGGGAAACACTAGAAAAAAATCCAAAACTGAGCCTAAGCACTGTAAACTGGAAAATGCCTTGAGGCAACAGGCAGATAATAAGTGAATGCAAATTTGCTTGAACGGCTGGATCAGTCCCCCTCACAGGGCAGTAGGCTGCAAAATTCACACAATATTCAGTTTATAGTTGACAGGAACAGCTATAATAACAGAAGGGATGTTGCTGGGGGCTTCTAACATGGCCTGAAGAAAGGCCAGGCGACGTTCATTGGTTCCTGGAGTGTGGCAGCTTCGGCAAAACCTTGGAATCTGTCACAATGCACATCACTCTCAGGCCCTGCATCTACAGACTCAGAAATTGTGGAGGTGAGGCCCAGCAAGCTGCATCTTAACATGTCCCGCAGGAGATGCTGATGGTAGCTAAAGTGTGAACACCACTGCTCTAAAGTAATTTTAGGTTGTCACAGTGGACGAAAAGGGAAGCAGCGGCAGTATGACTGCAATGAAACAGAAAAAGCCCTCTTCCTCCAGGATAAATGCTTCCTTCTTTCTACAGTTAAGGGGTATTCCCAACATGGTAGGCTGTTTCCCACTGCTTACCTCCAGAACTCTGAACTACGGGATAAAGTCTAGGGAAGGTGTGGGCAGAAGACTGGCAAGGGAAGAACAGTGAACTTTTAAATTGTTGAGGAAACGCTTAGTGGTGGAAATCAATCTAATTCATAAGGACTACAAATTTAAAAACAGAATGCCAATGTACTGGAGGAGAGAGCCAACGCAGGAAATAGAACTATTAAAAAAAATTATCCACTAAGACAGTTAAGGGCACAGCATCCATAAAGCAAGAATAGGAAGCTAGGAAAAAGCACCTGAGAGAATATTTTTTGGAAATGAACACGTTTACAACAAACATATAGATATTTGAATATATCATTATAAATATGAACAAATATATCACTTAAAAATCCTTCACTTTATACATTTTATTTAATGGACTGGGTATGTGAGGTAGAACGTGAATGCATTCTACGCATAGAAAAGATCTGGAAAGATATTCCCAAACTTAACAGTGTCCACCCTCGGAGAAAGGAAATGGGTGACTTAGTTTTTTAAGTATTACTGTTAGCAAGAATTATGCTATATTACTTTTGTAATAAAATTTATAATGGTCTTAACTGAGAAAATCCTTTCAAACATTTTATTACAGAGAGCTTTAATTTTTCTACTTTGAGAAAGAACATTGATAAACAAAGGAAACAAGCTAAGTTGTTATACAATTTTGTGTTTCATTAGAGGCTATATCATATAATTGTTTTGGAGTGAAAGAAACCTGCATTTGAATTCTGCCTCTGCCACTTCCTGATAGTATGACCTTGAGTAAGTTTTTTAACCTCTCTAAACTTCCATTTTTCTCAACTGTAAAATGAGGATATCGTTGTTGAGGACTGAATGGCACTGTGAATATAAAATGCTTATAATATAGCACCTAGTATGAAATCACCCGCCACTAAGCATTAGCAGCCCCCATTCCACCCTCTGGGGAAGAAAAACAAAACCAGTAATGCTCACCTCCAGGATCTTTATCTGGATTGTATTCTAAAGCATTACTGCAGATTAGATCGATATCACTCAAATAGTCTTTCACAGTCAGATACTTGTGGAGATCAATTTTACTGATTACAGATGAAAGGTCCATTGGTTGCTTTATCACAGTGACATAATCAGGAACCTAAAATTCAAGCAAATGACCAAATCACTAAATTAACTCTGAACAGTAAAAAATTTGAGTCAAGTTTTTCTACCAGGCAAAATAAGGGAGAGAGAATAAATACATAAGATATAATGAAAATATATTAATACAAAACTGTGACTCTATTTAAGGCGAGTTTTGTTTTGTATTCATTCTTATTCTTGGGCACCTATATCTCCAGTAACATTCTAAACCTCTTTCCTCATCCAAATGCCACCCACCCTTCAATGTCAATTTAGGACCTCATTCTTAACTGTGTAGGTCACAGTAATATCATGTAGCGTTAAGACATTCTCAAATTACTTCTACAACATTTGAGTTGGGCAAAGTTAATTGTCTATGCTCTGCAGGAAAGGAAAATGCTTTACGTAGCTCTTGAAGCCTCTATGTGCTTAGGATACTACTTGGTATGTTTCCAAATACAGAAAACAAGATCACAGTATACAGAGGGAACCACATAAACTAGTCAAATAGTCTCTAATTCTGAAGCATTTTGATCCAAAGATTAAATTAATACCTCATCAGGGTCAACAGGTTTAGTAAATATTCTGAATCGCTTGTCAATAGCAAGCCTATGTGTAACATTTCTTAAAAAAATCCTTAGTTCTCTAAATGTATCTTCTTCTTGTTCTTCTAGTCGTTTCACTTCTTCTGCTGTCAATGGTTTTGGTTCAGGTGGTGGTGCTACAGGGAGTACCTCCAAGGCCTGCAAAACTTTACATGAATGGAAGATTTTAGTTACCACTCTCCCACCGTATCAAGGGTAATAAACAATTCAGTACACAAAGTAGACAAGCTCTCAGGGATTATCCTCCTTGTATTTGCCAGGAATCAGAGGATTTGGAATACTAAACAGCTACCATAATCTCGACCTCTACAACACCCCCAGCAATAATCGCTAACTTGTAATTTGGAGTGCTAATTCCTAAATCATTACCATTTTAAGATCATTTAAGAGGCTATTAAAATTTTGAAAATGCGTATTTCCAAGACAAGAATATTCTAATTTTTTAAAAAGTCATTTTTACTAGTTAATTTTTAAACTAACAAAAAAATTGTGGTATGTTTCAAATATAACAAAAATTTAATTTTGTTTAAACAGATATGCACTAATAAGTAATAAGGATAAAAAAGGGAATATGAGAGTGCTGCCCCAATAAGCTGGCAATCAATTAAGGGAGTAAGAGACATAATTATAACATCACTGTAATATCATATTAGTAGTATGAAAAAAGTACAGTGCATCATAAAGGTAATAAATTAATTTTGTCTAGATGTTAGGGAAGAAATAATAAGTTATACTAGAAAGAAGTATGAATGAAATTATGAAAAGACACAATATGCTGTATATGGTTTAAAGATAGAGTGCTTTGGAAGGAAAAAGGTGGGGGAGAGAAAAGTGCCAAAGGTGTGCTTGGAAAGACAGATTGGGGCTATGCTATGAATTCTAGCCCCAATTCCACATAGATTAGGGCTATACTATGAAAGGCCTTGTATGCTTCAGGAACTTTATTCTAGGGACTTCCCTGGTGGCCCACTGGGTAAGACTCTGAGCTCCCAATGCAGGGGGCTGGGATTCAATCTCTGGGAACTAGATCCCGCATGCACACAGCAACTAAGAGTCTGCATGCTGCAACTAAGACCCGACGTAGCCTAAATAAACAAACAAACAAATAAATAAATAAGAACTTTAGTCTATTTTAATGGGAAACATAGGGATTTTAAGAGGTAAGTAAGAGGTATCAACCTCAACTGAGGTTTTGAGCTTCTGATATTAGAAGATGGCAATGCCATTAACTGATATTTCATTTCCACTTTCTCAAAATTATTACATATTAACTTTGATACAAGAACTAACCTGCTTTCTTTTTTGATATAGGAGGCTTAGCAGCTTGCTTTAGAATTAAATCTTCAAAAAATTGTGTCCGTTCTTCTTTATTAGGCAACTGGACATTAAAAATTTCTCCATAATCATGGATAAATAATTCTTGTACCTTAAAAAAGAAAACAGATGCATTTTATATACATATGTATGTATACACACACATTACTATGTATCAATCATTCAATGCCACAGTAGGTTACTGTACACGTTTTTAATGACAATCTAAATTGTGTAATAAAGAAATAATTTCTTAAATCTTTTACTTATATTGAATTTATGCATTATATAAACCATGTATGCAATAGATAAGGAACTAAAAACATGGGATCTTCTTTAGAACTCAAGGCTCCAAACTATAATTCATACAATAACTGATATGGTGATATTTTACTTAATGGGTTTTGTTGAGATCAAGTAATTCACCTTCACAACCCAAAGTGAGATATGAGAATGAGTGGTTCTTCAGTAAGAATAAAGGCTGGAAAATAATAAGTATTGGTAAGGATGTGGAGAAGTTAGACCCCTTGTGCTGGTAGGAATGTAAAAGGGTGCAGCCACTGTAGAAAACAGTATGATGGTTCCTCAAAAAGTTAAACACAAAATTATCATGTAACCCAGTATATTCAAAAAAACTGCAAGAAAAAAAATAAAAGACTCAACAGATACTTGTATACCAATAATCATAGCAGAATTATTTACAGTAGGCAGGAGGTAGAGACAATCCAAATGTTCACCACCAGATGAAGAGATAAAGAAAATGTGGTATGTACTTACAATGGAATATTATTCAGCCTAAAAAGGAATGAAATTTGAACACCTGCTACAACATGGATGAACAATGAAAACATTATGCTAAGTGAAATAAGCCAGTCACAAAAGGACAGATACTTTATGTTCCACTTATATGAGGATACCTAGAATAGGTAAATTCAAAGAGACCGGAAGTTACTAGAGGTTTCCAAGGGCTGGGAGAGGAAGGAATGGGGAATAATTGTTTAATGGATACAGAGTTTCTGTTTGAGTTGATGAAAAAGCTCTGGAAATGGATAGTGGTGATGGCTGCACAACATCATGAACGAACTTAAAGCAATGTACTTGATGTCACTGAACTGTACACTTAAAAATGGTTAAAATGGTAAATTAGGTATATTTTACCACCAAAAAAAGAATAAAGGCAAAACAGGTCTCAAAAGGATGTTTCTAAACAAACCTCTAGATCTTTCCAAGAATTATTAGAGGATGATAATGTTTATTCCTTGTATGATGTTTGGGTACTTTGTTCAGACTACCTATGATACAGAGAAATTTACATTCACAGCTTTTGCATTTTCTGCTTTGTAGGTTCTTCCATGCTCCAAACTTATGACGACTACATACACAACATCATTTATGAAATAAGTCTCTCCTTTTGCTAATCCATTCACTAAACTACTATGTATACAAGAGTCTACTAATGAACTGTATTACATTAATTTGTCATTTCTGGCCCAAATGCACAGTTTTAATCACTAACATTGTGGTATGCTTTACCATATTTGGAGGGCTTTTTCAAAATTTTCTTGGAAATTCAAGAACTTTTTTTTAGCCATGCCACGTGGCATGCAGGATCTTAGTTCCCCAACCAGGGACTGAACCTGTGCCCTGTACAGTAGAAGCACGGAGTCTTAACCACTGGACAAGCAGCGAAGTCCCTCAAGCAGTTTCTTCTTCTACATTAAATTTTAGAATCTATTTTGTTGATATTTCTATTGCAGTTTGTACCTTTTCCCCCTTTCTGGTGGCCTGGAAGTTGTCTGCTGTATTTCTATTCTTTTATTGTTACAAGTTTTAACAGACATATCTCTAAGCTTCTTTTCCTACCAAACTGTGAAGTTAATAATATCTACATATCAGATACAAATCTGAATGTGCTTTTACTTCCTCATTCTCCTTCACTATGTCCTTCCTGCCGTTTTGAGTTCAGAACCAAGATCAACTTAGATTTACAGTCCTTAAAAAAATGTTACTAGCACAGTTTTGTGATGAGTTTTACTGTTTTCTTTGCTCACTGCTTCTTATATGCAACTTCTGCAAAATAAAAAAAATCCAAGAGGAGAAATAATCCCTTAATAATTATTTCAGTCAGGGGTTTATGGGTAATAGTTTCTTAGGCACTGCATGTTCAAAAACATCTTTATTTTGTTCTTTCACTCAAATGCTAACTTTGCTGGGAAGAAAATTACAGGTGCAAAATTATTTTCCTTCTAACTTTGAAAATATTGCTCAGTTGCCTCCTTAGTAGCTGGTATTATACCAGTGAGAATGTAGAAGCAATTTGATTTTCAGTCCTTTCTAGTAATGTTTTATTCTCTTGGAAGATTTTTAGATTTTTCTCTATACTTTTGGAGTTCTGAAATTTTATCTAGATGTGGGCCTTTTTATACCCATCAGTTAGAACAGGGGACCTTTTAAATCTGAACATTATGGTATTCTTTAATTCTATGAAATGTTCTATTATGTGACCATTTTTCTCTTGTACATTTTTCTCCTCCCATAAATCCCATTAAACAGATGTTAGACCTGAATCTATGTCCTCTGTTTCCTTTAACTTCTTCCTCACTTTTCAAATCTTTGTCTTGTTTTTATTATTTACTATAAGAATTTCTGATCTCATGATCTTCCATCTTGCTAATTCACTCTTATCTGTGTTTGCTTCTTTTTAGCCCTGTGGGGTTTTTTATTTGGGGGGAGTTATTTCATGTATAATGTCTTCAGTTGGTTCTTTTCCACAACAATCTGTTGCTGATGCATGGATATGATTTTCCATGGAGCTGTCCTTCCTCAAAAGCTTACTTATAAATTTATCTTTGCCTTTGAAATCTTCAACTGTCCACAGATGCCTTTTCTGTTTATTCTAGCTTCTACTTCCAGTGATTATGAAAGAAGCTTGCCTATGTTAGACACAGAATGTGCCTGTAATTTGTCTTCTGGGCACAGGGTCTCCCTACTTCTCCCATTCAGTACCTATACATAAGTCACTGCTCTGCCACACTAGTCCTTGGGCCCACCTTCACTGCTCTAGCTGAGGACAAACAACTCAGCTGACTGCTGTCTGGCATGGCCAGAAGTGAAGAAAGCCAAAAAATCCAAAGTTGTCCAAAGGCTCTTTCAATTCCCTCCTAGCACCGAACCAGAGCTAGAAACCACTCCCATCTTTCAAAGCAGTCCTTTCATGCACATGCTTTAAAATGTGGTTACCTGTACCAATCTAATCCCCACTGCTTGTCTTTCACGATTCATCAAAGTTTCTAATCCACTGATGACTTTCTTTCTCATTTTTCCATACTGCTGTGTTGTTAGGGTCCACTAGTACTCATACATATAGATACTCTGACTGCAGTTTTGAGATGGACAAACTTTAATGTAGCTAATAATGGTATACACAGTACTTCTCACATATTATAGCCCAATGCTATATAGACAATATCACTGGATCACTAAGGACTACATAGACTATATAAGGCTCAAAGCGGACTTGCTTATTTGCATCCACATAGACTATTCATTTTATAAAATGAGCAATTCCTGGTCCAGTGCCCATTCCACCCTACAGTACAGTGTGATACTGGGATACTGTACTCAGTTTACAGTGATATGCTTAGGAAATATTACCATAAGAAAACAAAGAAGCTATCTTAAAAAAAATTTTTTTTGAGTACAAAATTCCCACATTCTTTTTTTTTCTTTATTTTTTGCTGTACGCGGGCCTCTCACTGTTGTGGTCTCTCCCGTTGCGGAGCACAGGCTCCGGACACGCAGGCTCAGCGGCCGTGGCTCACGGGCCCAGCTGCTCCACGGCATGTGGGATCTTCCCGGACTGGGGCACGAACCCGTGTCCCCTGCATCGGCAGGCGGACTCTCAACCACTGCGCCACCAGGGAAGCCCCAAAATTCCCACATTCTTGATAAAGTTATCCAAGATTAAACTGATGACAGCTTTTCAACCTCCCTACATCTTTATAAAGTTCAGCTAGTTTGCCTTACTTATTACCAAGAGTATAAACTTATCTTTGTTTTAAACTTTGAAATAATTAACAAAGTTTCAATTGACAGTGCGTACAATAAATCGATGGTTAATGGGGCTACTAAATAGCAATTCTTTACTCTGCTAATCAGAACATTGCTAAGTACTTAATTCATTCTGAGTACAGCCTTTCAAAAGGACTATAAAGAGAAAGACATTCAAGAGAGTGACTAGAATTTTGAAGAAACTAAAAATATGTGTGACGTGTAGCAGAGCCTGCTATTATCACACTCCATGTTCTCTTCCTTTTGGGCACACTGCTATATCATATTTCCTGGTCTCCCTTGTAGTTAGGTATGGCTATGTGAGTTTTAGCCAATGGAATGTGAAAGGAAATGATATGTATCACTTTCAGACCAGGCACAAGAAGGCCAATCCTTTCAGCTGGGTGGAATGAAAGTAACCTGGAAAGTCACATGATGAAAATGAGAAAGCTCTCTCAGCCTGAGTGTCTGGTATGACTACATGGTGGAGGGTGGACCCGCCAATCTAGTCATCTGCCTGGTATTGTTAAGTGAGCAAGAAATAAACTTTTATTGTATTTAATATTCCTAAGGAATATACCTTATCATAGAAGAAGAAATTTTTAGTGTGAAGAAGACTGGGTCAGAGTGAGGAGATAGAAATGAACACAAAACCATATTCAAACATACAAAGAGCTTGTCATGATGAAGACAGAATAGACGGGCTCTCTATTTTATGTGGGAAACAAATGGAGATTAAGAAATGGAAGCCTCTCAAAATAAGTTGATTTTTCTAAGGAGTCAGAACTAACAAAATGAATTGTGAAGGTGTTCTATACAAAAGAAAGACTTAGAGTCCAGAACTAGATGACTAAAGTAGAAAACTTTAAGGACTCTTCCCACCCTAAGAATCTGTAATTAATATATACTTAATGTTCATTTCCCAATTTATTTAAGTTTTAGTTGAAGAATTAACAACTACAAAACTGCCATCAGGGACACAATCTGGTCCTTTGATAACTCCCTGACATCATTTCCTTCTACTCTGTCCTTTATTCACTCTGTTCTAGCCACTCTAGACTTTCTGCGATTTTTCCAACACACCACACTCTTCCTTCAGGGCTTTCGCACTTGCTTTTCCTCTGCCAGGAACCTCTGTCCCTCAGATACTCAAATGGGTCACTACCTTACCTTCTCCAGGTATTTGCTCAAATGTCATCTTCTTGGTGAGGCTAACCTAGTGGATTTAACACTGTGGCCCTACCACACTCTTTTGGCATTGCTTAGCTAAATTTTTCTCCATACTGGTAGGTTGGTATTATACTTTATTTTTGTTTGTCTCTCCCTCAACTAAAATGTAAGCCCTAGAAGGATACAGATTTTTCTCTATATTGTTCAATGCTATATTCCCAATGCCTATAACCATGTCTGTCACAGAATAAGTGCTCAGTAAATATATTTAAAATAAAATATTTGAATTATCGTCCTACTAATGTTCTAAAAACACACACACAAGACTACAACATGCTTATTATGTATTCTGGGGACGGAGAGGTGGAAAAACGTCCCTGATTTCACGTACTTTACATTATGCTAGTAGAGATAGAGTCAAACGAATTAATATTTAATGTCAAGTAGTGATAAAAACAAAGCAGAGTAAGGGAGAAGAGAGTGATAGGCAGAGGTGTTACTGCTGTAATTGAGAAACTGATCAGGAAGACCTCTGAGGTGATATCTAGGCAGACATCTGAGAAAAATAAAGGATCACATCTTTATTTTCTATGTATCTAGGAGAAGAGTATTACAGGCAGAAGCAGAATGAACTTTGTCACTGGTAGTTGTCTAAATTGGCACAAATTTGAAGGACAGTAATTTGGTACTATCAAAAATGTCAAATGTGCATACTCTTTGGCTAAGCTATAGTTATTCCACTTTTAGGAATGCATGTTAAAAAAATCCACATAGTAATGCTCATATAATTTAAAACCCAAGAATGCTCACTGTAGCAGTTCAACAGGAAAAAAACTGGAAAATAACTAAAATCCTATTAATAAGGATTTGGATAAATAAATTATGGTATATCAAGAAAACAGAAAAAGCTATGCTGCTCTTGAAAGAAATAAGACTTATGTATTAAAAAACACATAAGATATATAAAGTAAGTTACAGAATAGTATGCATCATATTCCATTTAGAGAAAAAAAATTTACAATATGGTCTTACAATATACATACACATATACATATACCATCCTGCCCAACAAGCACATGTATCAAACAGCTAACAATGGTATCTTTAATAGGAAAACTTTTCCTTATAATTTTATTCACCTCTGTAGCACTTGGAATTTTTTCCATAAATTCTTATTACTTAAGTATATCTCTTTTTAAAATATAATAATTTCTCCCAAATTACCTCTTCTGGTAGAGTGGAATGGGGTTTGTCAGAAGTTGCAAGTAGTAAAACTGGAGCAAAAGAAGGAATATTCTGTAATAATGTGGTAAATGTGGCTTTAAGTGTTGGTCCAACTATTTCCCACCACAAGTGAATATGAGGAATATACACTATACTTGGTGCTGTTTTCTTAGCTTCATGAATCATCTAGTAGACAGAGAAAAAAATTACATTCAGTTAGAGAGTCAGCACATTAGTTATATGCTTTATTAATCTGGAACAATGTTTAATTTCCCGGAATTGTCATATAAAACCCTCAAGTTTTAAAAATGCTTCCCCAATCCCACAATCTTGTTTTTAAATGTTTTATAAAAGTCTCATTTTTAGGGCTTGGCTTCCCTGGTGGCGCAGTGGTTGAGAGTCTGCCTGCTGAGGCAGGGGTCACGGGTTCGTGCGCCGGACCAGGAAGATCCGGCCACAACAGTGAGAGGCCCGCGTACCACACACACAAAAAAAGTCTCATTTTTAGAAAAACATAATTGCTTCAAGCAATTAGAAAACAGCTCAAGAAATCTAGAAGACTTTTCTGTTATGGCAACCAAGGTTAAAATAAAAATACAAATATAAAACACTTTTACATTAAAAAAATTTTAATATAGCAAAAACAGAAGCAGCAAGGTTCATATGGTTTTTGGAAAGAATCACCCCCTACAGATTTTTAGGAATACTTCATACAGTATAGTTTCTACCATCATGACAACTGTAACAACAAAAAATTTTCTAATATTTTAACTTTAAAAAAAAATCAATTAGCTGGCATCTTTTATCTTTTCAAACATCATTTCATTTAGTTTTAGGGAATTTACACACACACAAAATATATATATATACTAATTTTCAAGGGAAATGTACCTATTCTAATGAAGAAAATTAAAATTTTATTTTGCATAGCCGTCACTGTTTTAAGTATTTTACTCATTTCTCACAACAGCCATACAAGGCAAGGACTATTATTATCTCCATTTTGCAAATGGGGAAAATGGGGCAGAGAGATCTAATAACTTTTCTAAGTCACATAGCAAGTAAGTGGTGGAAAAGGGATGTAAACTCACACTCTTCAGTAACTAAGCACTTATGCATAGTTCTATTTTGAAAACCTGAAGTTAGAAATCAGAAAGGCAAAAAACACAGTACAAAAAGAACAAGGCAATTCTAGATTTTGTCTTTGGAAGACTACTTTGACTTACAACTTATGTGCCTGGGCAACAATGAATTACCTGGGCACATGTTTCTTCAGGAGATGTAGCACTGACTCCAAAAAGAACAGGAATGTCTAATGTGTACACTGCAAATTTTTCCAAAGCATGAATGACAGCTGGTGCTAAATGAGAACCTTGCCCAAATCCTGGTTCTCCTACTATCAATATTCTTGGTCGAAAAGACATAGGTTGATAACAAGCATTTCTGAAAGAAATGAGTAATAACCTATGATTTAGGGAAAAAAAGTTTAAATTTCCCTCCCAATTACCAACTATGAACTTTAGAAGTCAAAAGTTTTGACAATATGGCCAGTCATAACATCATAGTTCATATGGTTTTTGGAAAGAATCAACCCCTACAGATTTTTAGGAATACTTCATACAGTATAGTTTCTACCATCATGACAACTGTAACAACAAAAAATTTTCTAATATTTTAACTTTTTAAAAAAGTCAATTGGCTGGCCTCTTTTATCTTTTCAAACGTCATTTCATTTAGTTTTAGGGAATTTACACAAGAAAAAAAATATATTAATTTTCAAGGGAAGTGTACCTATTCAAATGAAGAAAATTAACATTTTCTTTTCTCTTATTAAAGGATTTTTGAGGAAGTCCATTTTCATATACTGAAGGAACATCGTCATCACTGTATACCAAGTCACTTTCTAAAAGAGGACAAGAAACATCTATAAAGTAAACAAAAAAAGTGTGCATTAGTAACTTTTCTGAATTACAAAGTAAATCTTCATGTAATGCCTCAGTTAGCAAACCAAGGAACTTCAATGACATTTTTTTAAGAATCAAAAATGTTTGTGTAGATATAAATAACAAGTAAATTAAAATAATGCATTCCAAACTTAGATTAAGTCTAGGGCAATCTGTGAAGTAAATTTCTTTCAAATATCTTGGCAAAGCATGGCCAAATTCCTTTCAAGAGGCTCTTTTATAAAGAAACATTACTGTACAGGGATGTACAAAACATTTAGTTTTACAGATTATGAAAACTAAATGGTCAATCAAGTTTCATACCTGAGTCTAATGCTTTTTTAGTTCCGATTTCCACATGTGGAAATACTCTCTGCAGAGCTTCTAAGATCTTGTCAACTGTGCTTTGCAGGAGTGGTTTCACAATGGTGGACAGGGCCTGCCCAGGTGATGTCACAGCTCTTTGGGAGGCTGGTATCATCTTTTGCATAGCTAACTCAAAGTCTTTAGCTGAGATATTAATTGAAGAGAGATCCAACTGTAGTTTCTCACTGGTGGTATAGATCTGGGGGTAGCGTCGACGCAGAGCACACAGAGCAGCCTCAGAACATACTGACTTAATATCTGCACCACAGTACCCTATCCAAGGCAACCAAAAAGAATTTTTTTAAGTAAACCACCGCCCTATTAGCTTGACTGTGGTTAAAAGAAAATTAAAAATCAGCCCAGCAATATAGTAGCAAAATATTTAGGAGTAATACGGCTAAAATGTCTCTCATTCCCCCAGTGAACTTACATGGTTGATAATAACCCTTAACAAATCAATCAACTTTTGAGAGTGAAATATGCAGGCATGAAGTAGAGCACAAGGGTCAAGAGCACGACTTTTGAAATCAATCAGGTTCAAATTCCAGTTTGTCATTTACTAGACGTGTGATCTTTAGAGATTTATGCTCTCTTTACTCATTTATGCTCTCTCAGCCATTTCTACATCTGTAAAATGGGGATAAAGCTACCTACTTCGCAGGACTGATGTAAGAATTACCGAAATAATACATGTAGAATGCTTAATAGGATAATTAGAAAAATGTGAACAGTTAGTAAAAGATCTAACTTCATTCTGATATTCCCTGACAGTCAAAATATCAATCACCTCTATATAATATCTAGGACTTTATACAAAGAAAACAGGACTTCCCTGGTGGCGCAGTGGTTAAGAATCCGCCTGCCAATGCAGGGGACACGTGCTCAAGCCCCAGTCCAGGAAGATCCCACATGCCGCGGAGCAACCACGCCTGTGCGCCACAACTACTGATCCTGTGCTCTAGAGCCTGTGAGCCACAACTACTGAGCCCATGCACCACAACTACTGAAAGCCTGCACACTCGCACGCCACAACTATTGAGCCCGTACGCCTAGAGCCCGTGCTCCGCAACAAGAGAAGCCACCGCAATGAGAAGTCCGTGCACCGCAACAAAGCGTAGCCCCGGCTCATTGCAGCTAGAGAAAGACCCCGCACAGCAATGAAGACCCAACGCGGCCAAAAAAAAAAAAACATGCCAGCAACTATAAATAAGAAACAAATATAATTTGCATTTCTTTAAACATAACCTTGGCAAAACTACAACTTATTCCATCTTTGAAATGCACGTAATATTTCCTTTAATGCTTAAAACAATGCTTACCAACACAGTTTTCTGCTAGTTCTTCTAGAAATATGTCCAGTGGTTTAGGATTCCAATGCCTTGTGTGAATCTTTAGAATTTCTTTTCGAGCCTACAAATAAAAACAGTTAAATTTTTCTATAATAATAAAGTGCTATTCAGATTAATTTCAACTTAGAATAATTTATCTAAAATTTTAAAGATTTTAATACCTAATATAAACAGAAATATGAAACAGTAAAAATGAAAAAAAAAAAGATGTATTTGTAAGAGCTTGAGGATTTTATGTTAAACAGATCTACATTTATAGCTCAAGTTCTAGTCATCATAAATGTGAATGAGAGATATTAAGAAACTACTGGTACATATTAAGAACTGTTTTTAAGAGTACTGACAGCTCTACCCATATTTTCTAACTTGGTTCTCAAAATATTAGGCAGCTTTAAAATAACTGCATAGGATTATATGGTTGTATCTGTGAAAAAAGCCAAGGCCAATGAATTGGCTAAGGATTGACTGTTAGGCCACGTGTTCTGAATCAAAATAAAGCTGTATAATTAACATGCAAAGGTTGTGCTCAAATTGAAAGAATTTTAAGACTATTTCTAGGGAGGCACTATTTTATTACAAAAAAAAAAAAGGAGGGGGGTGGGGTGGGGAGTTCCCTGGCTGTCCAGTGGTTAGGACTTGGCACTCTCACTGCTGTGGCCCGGGTTCATCCCCGGTCGGGGAACTAGGATCCCACAAGCCGCAGGAACCAAAAAAAAAGAATAAAAATTTACCAAGTTATTTTCTTTAAATAAAATAATGCCTCCCTAAAAATACATACATACGTGTTTGAATGTTAATCATACAACTTCGCTTCAGAACATACAAAACTCAATCTTCAATTTTTCGCTATACCAAGACTTGTTCATGATAAAGGCAATCAATTTTGTCAAAATTTGAGTGATGTTAAATTCTTACATCTTTATCAGGTAGGCTAAAAAGGAATTCTCTGTCAAAACGACCAGGCCTTCGTAAAGCAGGATCGATAGAATCCAGTCTGTTGGTAGCACCAATGATGACAATTTCTCCTCTGCTGTCCAATCCATCCATAAGAGCTAGCAGGGTGGAAACAATTGAACTAAATTTAAAAATAAGAGAGAAGAGATTAATTGTGTGGAAGCTGAACACATCATTTCTTTTTTTTGCTAAGATTGAATACATTAAATGTGTGACTGAATTTTCTCAAGAGCATTCCACTACTTTCAATGAGCTTTTTAAAAAGAAAATCTGTAAAATAACATACTACATGGCACATAGACATTTAAAGTCAATGGAAAACACAGCTTTCAGAATGCTACAAATGGTTCCTGGAAGCCATTTCATAAAGCATAATTTCACATAGGAACTTTAGAGTTCTCAAACAGGGATACAACATCAAAAAAAAAACAAGTACTAGGCAGACAAACAGAAGGTAAAAATAATAAAATGGTTCATTGTGTACACATTATCAAAGGACCCCAAAATAAAACAGAATATACATAAAGCATAAAAACATAGGATTTGGACTTCCCTGCTGGCACAGTGGTTAAAAACCCCCCTGCCAATGCAGGGGACACAGGTTCAATCCCTGGTCTGGGAAGATCCCACATGCTGCGGAGCAACTAAGCCCGTGCGCCACAGCTACTGAGCCTGCGCTCTACAGCCCATGAGCCACAACTACTGAGTCCATGTGCCACAGCTACTGAAGTCTGTATGCCTAGAGCCCGTGCTCCACAAGAGAAGCCACTGCAATGAGAAGCCCGCGCACCGCAACAAAGAGTAGCCCCAACTCGCCGCAACTAGAGAAAGCCCATGCGCAGCAATGAAGACCCAACACAGCCAAAAATAAATAAATAAAATAAATAAATTTATTTTTTTAAAAAAGAGTTTTAATTACATTTTAAACTTTTCATTATGGAGAGAGAATAGTACAACAGTCTCCACATCTTCATCACTCAGTTTCAACAATTATCAGTATTCCTTTTTTGTCTTCACCCAATAGCTTTTAAAAAAACCAACCAAACAAAAAAATCTCAGGTCATTTAACCCATAAATATTTCATGTTAAGTGCTTCACATATGTATTTCTGAGGATAAGGACTTTTAAAAACTCCCACAATACTATGACACCAATGTAAATGACACTAATTCCAATTTCCCTGATCGTCTCAAAATATCTTTTTACATTTGGTTTGTTCAAGCCAAGATCTACACACATTGCACTTGGTCAAACAACCCTCAAATCCATAACAGTTCCCCATCACCCTTCCCTCACTTTTTTTTTCTTCCTCCATGCCATTTATTTTTTGAAGAAACTGGTTCATTTGTTTTGTAGAATTTCCCTCCCACATCTGGATTGAGCTGATTGCTTCCTGATAGGCTCATTTAACTTGTCCTTTAGCTTTCATATTTCCTGTAAACTGGTAGTTACATCTACAAGCTTAATAAATATAGATTAAACTATTTGGGATAGCATATTTCACAGGAAGATACCATGTATTTCCTACTGTATACATCAGGAGGCAAGTGATACCATATTTTCATTTTTAAGATCAGTAGGTTGGGTTTAGTTGAGGTGTTATCAGGTTACTCCACTCATCATAAACTTTACTATTAACCTTTTCAACTTATCTGCTTTCACAGCAGCCACCGATAGCAGCCACCGATAACTATTGCTTAGATCAAGGTTTCTCAATCTTGGCACCATTGACATTTTGGGTCAGATAATTCTTTGTTGTGGAGAGCTGTCCTGTCCACTGTAGGATATTTAACAGCATCCATGGTTTTCACCCACTTGAAGCCAGTAGAGCACTCCCCCTCCCAGTTGTGACAATCAAAAATATATCCAGACGTGTCCCCTGGGGGGCAAAATCACTACCAGTTGAAAACCATAGTTCTTGATCCACTATTTCATAAGGGGTTGCAAAATGGTTATTTTTCTAATTCAATAATTTCCTTTGTGTTTATTAAATGTGATTTTTCTATAGAGAACAAAGTTCTCTTTATCATTATTATTAAATTACTCTGAATCATGGTTACAGGACAGGAAAAAGAAATGCTTGATTCATTCTCTTCATCAATTTTCAGAGTAATGAGTCACTGTCTTAGCAATCTTTGGAGTGACCAATTAAGTTCTTTTTTAAAACAGATCATTAAAAACTGATGATTTCTGTGTACTTGATACACTTCAATATACTGAGTCTCTTAAAAATGTGTATACATATTTAAGAGACTCACTATACTGGGTCTCAAACTGTCCCGTCTTTGGCCAATGGAAACCCCTTCAAACTGGCTATGTCACTCTGATGTGACCCCAGTAGTCTTTGATTGCTTCTTCACTTCCAGGAATTACAATATGTTCCAGGCTTGTCTTGCTATTTCCCATCTCAGTTCTGCCTAACACCTCCTCCACTAAAGAATCCTAGTATTTAAAGATCACACTCTGATTACTAAGGGTATGAATTGCCGCTGGACTGTGATTGTTTCTAGGCCTTTTTAGTGTCCAGAGATAGGAATCATTTTTTTCTTTAAAAATAAAATTCATCGTAAGTTCATACTGGTATTTCTAATTCAAGTAAAGATTTGAGGTGTTTTTTTTTTTTGCGGTACGTGGGCCTCTCACTGCTGTGGCCTCTTCCGTTGCGGAGCACAGGCTCCGGACGCGCAGGCCCAGAGGCCATGGCTCACGGGCCCAGCTGCTCTGCGGCATGCGGGATCCTCCCAGACCAGGGCATGCACCCGTGTCCCCTGCATCGGCAGGCGGACTCTCAACCACTGCGCCACCAGGGAAGCCCGATTTGAGGGTTTTAATTTAATTTACTTTATATTTGTATCCTCTTTTCTTAGGCTAAAAATCTTATTTTCTAATGCATTCACATACTTACTTATTTGCATTACCCTACAATTATTACCAACAATAAGATAAAGAGGATAGTTTAATCATGTTCAACGTGCTAACTTCTAAAAAAGCTGAATTTGGACTTCCCTAGTGGCGCAGTGGTCCACCTGCCAGTGCAGGGGACATAGGTTCAAGCCCTGGTCCAGGAAGATCCCACATGCCGCGGAGCAACTAAGCCTGTGAGCCACAACTACTGAAGCCCGCGCACCTAGAGCCCGTGCTCCTCAACAAGAGAAGCCGCCGCAATGAGAAGCCCACGCAACACAATGAAGAGCAGCCCCTGCACGCCACAACTAGAGAAAGCCCGCACGCAGCAACGAATACCCACACAGCCAAAAATAAAAAATATAAATAAATAAATAAATTTGAAAAAAAAAGGAAAAAGATTTACTCCCTTAAAGTAAATAAATAAATAAATAAGCTTAATTTAACAAAATTGTTTTTCTCTCAGATTTTTTAAGTCTTTGGAAAAAACAAAAACCTAAGTTCTCTTAAAAATATATATTTGAAATGATAAGTGCTTGCTAAAATTATTCTATATTTCTTGTTAAAATTTCTCCAATCCCTTTTAGAACTGTTCCAAAATACAGTAAGTACTCAATTACTTGATTGCAAAGTGATGGTCGTATTGTTAAATATATTTTTCCCTATCAACACAATGAATACAGTATGGCTGATAATGAAATGTGTCATATATATAAAAAGTGTGTATGATTATTGGTAGGGTATGTGCACACACAACTATTTTTACCATATAGGAGTAAACATTTTAATTTACTCAGAACAAATAAAATTTTATAGTATCAAGTCAAAGAAGAGGACCAGAATATAGTAAATGTTGTTAGGTGTTAGAAAAGCCAAAACCTACCTATCACTCATAATTTTATGTCTCGTTTCTCTTTTATATTATCTACAATGAAAAACAATACTGGCATAATGAAAGCATGCAAACATTTGCTTTTGGGTATCCCAAATTAATTAAATAATTACATTTAAAAAGAAGCTGTGAAAAACTGAAGATGAACTAGGACTAAAATGAATTTAGATTCAGGTTGAGTCAGTGGTACTAGTGAAAACTGCTCCCTTGGGTAAGCAATTATCACAGGGTAGATGCAACTTTCCCATTCTGAAAATCAGGAAGTTGGGCTAGTACTAGGGGAAAAAAAAAAAAGCATCTGAATTAGTTGGCAACATCTAAAAGATATTTAACGCAAAAATCTGAATATAAAATTTAGGAAAGAAAATTTATTTTTCAAGTCTGAGTCAGCTTTTGCACTTCAGTAATAGGCTGGAGCTAAAAACAATTGGCCACGCTCTTCATGATTGGACACTCAGCCACATTTCCCAGACCCACCCTTATCACTGGCCTGCCTCACTCATTTTATTTGCCTTACCTCACTGGCCAATGGGCATTTAAGTCTGTATCACAAGTTAAATCTATAACCAATACTGTGCTTGAGAACACCTTACCCTTTAGAACAGGTTCACTTTTTCTTTTTCTTCTGTACTACACATTGGTTTCTACTACCAAACAACACTGGTTTATAAACTTTCTTTCACCATCTAACATTCTATCCCTCATGCAATATCAATACTGCTCAGAATATAGGAAGAAAGGCAGAAGTACCATCAAGCAAGTTTTACCTGTGAATTTGATCTTGCCTGCTTGATCGTACTGGAGCCAGACCATCGATTTCATCAAAGAAAATAATTGATGGGCGCATCTGATAGGCCTAGGAAGCAAGTCCAGTGATTGCATGTTATCATGAAAAACTTCAAATACATAGACTTAATATAAAGCATTTTAATCCATTTTCATTCCTATTTGCTTAGAAGAAGTTTTTAAAAATAAAAACTCAAGAACTATGTTTTAAGGATTCAGACATAATAAATTATAACAGCATACAATTTAAGCTTATTTGCATTTTCAGCTGGAAACATTCAATATACTCCACTGGTTATATCCCTCAGATTTCATACAGCTACAATTATTGGGACACAAAAAATATCTACTGAAGACCAACTGTCGAAACAAGACAAAGAATAGAAGACAGTGACATAGCTTTCCTCCATGTCAGGAGGAAAAAAACATTTAATAAGATGCCATAGTTTAAAATCTATTTCAGTAAAGTTAAAACAAAGAAACCTCAGTGAATTCTACAAAGAGATGTAAAAGCATTTGCAACAATATGCCTCAGTAGCTAAGAATGCTATTATCTCACAACTTACTGTCAATACAATTGGGATATGAAACTGAAAGCCACTCTAGGGCAGAGCTAATCTTCAGCTCGTATACTGAAACATAACTCACTGCTGTCATCTCTTTTAAGTGTGAGACTACCACTCTGTCTCTAGTCTTTAGATATGAGACCTAAGACTCCAGAGAACTTAGACCCAATTATTCCTTCCTCTTTTTACTATAAAACTGTTCATCATACGTCGGTGTAATCATGACATGACAAAGGAAAATAATCTAGGAAGAGTATATATGTGGTATAATTATTATGAGTTTATTTCTATGAAAAGTGATTAAATGCAAGGTTTATCCAATCCTTATACTTAATCTACACTGATTACAGATCTATATAGGTAAATTTGAATATCATACCTGATCAAATAGCAATCGCAGCTGTCTTTCAGATTCTCCTACCCACTTACTCAGACCATCAGCACCTTTCCTCATGAAAAATGCTACTCTTTTATCCCCTTGACTGCATTCATTGGCAAGTGCTCTAGCAACCAGAGTTTTTCCAGTTCCAGGTGGACCATAAAACAAACAACCCCTGTAAAAGAATAAGTATTATTTTAGTACTATACTGAAAAACAGACCAAACAAAAACTTAGAAACCAATTTCATGAATACATTTAATGAATAAGAATGTAATTAAGACAAGTGAAATATCATTTCAATCCACAAAGCACAACTTAAAACCTAGGAATTAATATTCATACTATAAAATTAATATTGAAACTAAATAAAACCCTTTATGTGAAACATATTTTCTTTCATTTATTCATCATGCTCATCATATTATCTTATCTTGCATAAAAGTTATGATTGAAAAGACCTGACTGTTTAATTTTATAACGTATCAGGGGAAAGAATAGCAGATTTCACGTATAATCTTTGGTCTGAGCACCAGTAACATAACAGCAAAAGTTTTGCAAGAAAATAGTGGGAATGGACATAAGAGAAAATAAGATAAAAGAAGAGAGAACTTGAAGTAGTGGCTGGGTGACAGGGACTAGGACAACACAAAGAATTCAAGATAATTTTTGGTGACATCACTGCACTGTCATAGGGTAATGTACAGCTTTTTCACATACTTCCAAAGTTATTCATTGTTCTCAGGACAGAATTCTGAGAAAATGGGTTATATTCATAATCTTACTGGAAATGATCATCAAATAACTGCTCTTGAAAAGAAAAGTTAAGGAAGATCCCAGAAAAACAGAAATGACAAAATAAGAATGGCAAAAAAAAAAAAAAAAACACAAAAGATGTATAAAATCTATTCAAAGTCAAGAAAAAAATAAAAGAAAAATAAGGGAATTCCCTGGCAGTCCAGTGTTTAGGACTTGGTGCTTGCACTACCAGGGCACGGGTTCAATCCCTGGTCAGGGAACTAGTATCCCACAAGCCGCGCATCGCAGCCAAAAGAAATAAAAAATAATAAGAAATGAACATAATCAAATGCAGATGGTAAAAAAACAAAGCAATTGTTAAGAAAACAATCAGACAAGTGAAATAAACCAGTGATTTCAATGTACAAAAGTCAAGACGGAAACAGATTTTTAAAAATATATCTATTTTTGGGCTTCCCTGGTGGCACAGTGGTTGAGAGTCCGCCTGCCTATGCAAGGGACGTGGGTTCGTGCCCCGGTCCGGGAGGATCCCACATGCCGCGGGGCAGCTGGGCCCGTGAGCCATGGCCGCTGAGCCTGCGCGTCCGGAGCCTCTGCTCTGCAGCAGGAGAGGCCACAGTGGTGAGAGGCCCGCATACCGCAAAAAAAAAAAAAATATATATATATATATATATATATATATTTTTTTTAAAATATATCTCACAGTAATCTTATTTGTGAGATGGTATCTTAAAGAAAAAACTTAATGATTCCCATAAAGAGGAAGCAATGAGATGTTCATGATATTGACATCTGTGATAATGAAAACAGGAGAAAACAAAATAGCCAGAAATAGCAGAATCAATTAAATAAAATGTGATACATCCACAAAATGGAATATTATTCAGCCATTAAAATGGAAAGAGAACATACCATATGAAAATAGTTTAACATAGTCATATATTGATTTTTTATGAGCAGAAATGTAAGAAAGGGGAAATGTAAGGAAGGGGAAATGAAGACAAAAAATTGAAGGAATCTGTTGTTGAATTTTTTTACTTTAATTTTTAAAATTCAAGTATAGTGGATATAAAATATTAACTAAGTTACAGGCATACAATATAGTAATTCACAATTTTTAAAGGTTATATTCCATTTATAGTAATTAGAAAATACGTGCTCTATTCCCTATGTTGTACAATATATCCTTGTAGCTTATTTTATACCTAATAGTTTGTACCTCTTAATCCCCTACCCCTATATTGCCCCTCCCCAATTCCCTCTCCCCACTGGTATGCATTAGTTTGTCCTCCATATCTGTGAGTCTGCTTCTTTTTTCTTATATTCACTAGTTTATTGTACTTTCGTATTCCACATATAAGTGATATCATACAGTATCTGCCTTCCTCTGTCTGACTTATTTCACTCAGCATAATGCCCTCCAAGTCCATCAGTGTTGCTGCAAATGGCAAAATTTCATTCTTTTTCTATGGCTGAGTAGTATTCCATTGAGTATATACATACCACATCTTCTTTATCCATTCATCTGCTGATGGACACTTAGGTTGCTTCCGTAACTTGGCAACTGTAAATAATGCTGCTATGAACATTGGGTTGCTTGTGTCTTTTTGAATTAGTGTTTTTGTTTTTTTCGGATATATACCCAGGAGTGGAATTACTGGGGCATATGGTGGTAGTTCTATCTTTAGTTTTTTGAGAAACCTCCATACTGTTTTCCACAGTAGTGCACCAATTTACACTCCCACCAACAACGTATGAGGGTTCCCTTTTCTACACATTTTCCCCACATTTGTTATTTGTGTTCTTTTTTAAATAAATAAAATTATTTATTTATGGCTGTGTTGGGTCTTTGTTGCTGCATGCAGGCTTTCTCTAGCTGTGGCGAGCGGGGGCTAGTTGCGCTGTGTGGGCTTCTCATTGCGGTGGCTTCTCTTGTTGCGGAGTACAGGCTCTAGGCGCATGGGCTTCGGTAGTTGTGGCTTGTGGGCTCTAGAGTGCAGGGTCAGTAGTTGTGGTGCACGGGCTTAGTTGCTCCATGGCATGTGGAATCTTCCTGGACCAGGGCTTGAACCCATGTCTCCTGCATTGGCAGGTGGATTCTTAACCACTGTGCCACCAGGGAAGCCGTATTTGTGTTCTTTTTGATAACAGCCATTCTGACAGGTGTGAGGTGATATCTCATTGTGGTTTTGATTTGCATTTCCCTGATGATTAATGATGCTGAGCATCTTTTCAACTGCCTGTTGGCCATCTGCATGTCCCCTTTGGAAAAACATCTATTCAGTTCTTTTGCCCATTTTTTAATCAGGTTGTTTGTTTTTTAATGTTGAGTTATATGAGCTGTTTATATATGTTGGATATTTACCCCTTATCAGTCAGTCATATAATTTGCAAATATTTTCTCCCATATGTTGTCTTTGTGTTTTGTCAATGGTTTCCTTTGCTGTGCAAAAGCTTTTAATATAACTAGGTCTCATTTGTTTATTTTGCTTTTATTTCCTTTGTTTTAGGAAACAGATCCAAAAAAATATTGCTATGATTTATGTTAAAGAGTGTTCTGCCTATGTTTTCCTCTAGGAGTTTTATGGTGGGGAGAGGAGAGATATAAAAGAGGAAATGAAGTTATATAATACATGACTAAACTGCAAGAAATATTTACATAGTCATAAAGCAAACAGTGAAAATCAAGTTTATCTATATATAAATAAACTACTGGAAATATGGAAGGGGGAAAAATGTGTATATGTGGAGGGTGGGGAAAGTAAGAGTCAAATAGTCATTGTTCACAGGAAGTCTATATATTATGTCTAAAATAGAAAAAACAGAAGGGACTACTACCATTTTTTCTTTGTAAAACTTATAGTACTATTTAACTTTTAAAATTATGTACATATAATCAACTATACTTCATTATAAAATAAAGAATATATTAAAAATTACATACATGTATTACTTTGACATAAATTCAAAACGAAATCAAAAAACTGAAAGAAAAAAAGTAAAGAGTATGTATGAGAGGAATTCTACTAAATGTATGAAAAGCCATGGAAAACAATTTTTTTTTAATGGAGAATCAATTTTGAAACCATTTTTCATGTTAAACATTAAGAAAGTAAAATATTCGAAACACCCAGGATGTTGCAGGGCAAGTATAACAAATTACTGTAGGCCTGAAAATTTTCAACAGAGAAGCATTATCTTTCTGGACATAGCATAGCTCAGATTTTGGCTAAAATAAAATGTATAATTAAATTACCTTGGAGGTTGAATTTTGAATTTTTCAAAGACTTCTGGATAAAGTAGTGGAAACACCACCATCTCTTTTAGAGCCGCAATATGATTAGACAAGCCACCAACACTATCAAATCGCACCTGGTAACGGAAGGGAAACATTGACATTCTTAAATTTGGAATCAAAATTAAAATCTTACTCCATTCCCAAACTACCCAAGCCACACACAGTCAACTGAGTAACAGGATCTTAGTTGTGGCCTAAAGATTAAAAGAAGAAAGAAAAGAATCTATAAAGATTAAAATTTCTGATAAAACAATTGATTTCTTTTTTAACTTTGAACTGAAGCAAAAAATAACATTTCAGACTGTACTTACTGAAGAATCTAGTTGCATTAGATCAACATCAGCAAGGCTTCCTCCAATTTTCATTCCATCTTTATAAGTTCCTTTTAATTCATCTTTCCGAAAATTTAGTGGAAGGCACCTATTTTAAAAAGATTTAAAAAAAAACCCATTCATCAACCCCCTTTCCTTCCCCAAATTCCATGTTAGAATATATACATTTTTCTTAAGAATTTAAAAAATTTCAAATGGGGAAATCATGAGATTATGTGTTTCAAGTTCCTCATTTTCTTTAGAGGTTGAGAACTTAAGTGTTAGAAATATTTATATCTGAACCTTTATTATTAAAGATATACAATCAAATGAAAATACCAGTTTTCAAGATACCACAGCAACATAAAGTAATTCATGGTTGAGAATTCAGAAAGTATCAATATACATTATAATAATCTTGTCTGACCTACAGAGAGTTTACCATTTGCCAAACACTGTTTTAGTTTAGGTGATTTACATGTATAAATTCATTAAATCCTCACAATATTCTTATGAAGTAGGTATTATTATTTCCCCAATTTTAAAAGAAAACCTAGGCACAGAAAGGTTAACTGTAATGTCCAAGATCACGCAACTAGGAAGTGGCAAATCTAGGAATCACATACAAGCAGCATGTCTCCAGATCTGCAACAACTCTGCTTCTATACCTCTCAGCAAAATACTCAGTCTACCAGCACCTGGATCCATATCAATCCTTTCAAGCAAGAATGAATCACTACTTTCCTAATTACTTTCAGAAACAGTTATGGTAGGTTACAAAAAATATACCTAGAAAAACCTGCTTGTTTTATAGCTGGAAGAATGAAAACACTTATGTTAAAAGTTAAGATACTTGTAGCAGAATGCCTAAGCAAAAAATGCCTGCTCCAACTGAACACAAGTAAAAGCACACCATGCTCACCCCAAGTGACAATTCTTGCTAGTCTCAAACTCCACGAGGAATTTATACTGTAAAGTCTAAGATGGAAAAGTTTTCAGCTGTGGCTTTTAAAAAGATATTTCTTAAACAATTCTTAATAGAACTGCATAATAATAAAAACCATAGGATTGGGACTGCCCTGGTGGCGCAGTGGATGGGACTCCGTGCTCCCAATGCAGGGGGCCTGGGTCCGATCCCACACCCACGTGCATGCCGCAACTAAGAGTTCGCATGTCACAACTAAGGAGCCCGTGAGCCACAACTAAGGAGCCCTGGAGCCGCAACTACGGGGCCAACGTGCTGCAACTAAGGAGCCGGGGAGCCACAACTAAGCAGCCCACCTGCCACAGCTAAGACCCAGGGCAACCAAATAAATTAAAAAAAAAAAAAGCCATAAGGTTAGATGCACATTTTTATGAAATGAAGGCAAAGTACATAACTTTTGAATGATCTCATTGCTGTCCAATAGATACGAAATGCAAGCCAAAAATGTAATTTAAAATTTTCTATTAACCACACTAAACAGAGTAAAATTAATTTTAATAATGTATTTTATATATCCCAATATATCCAAAATATTATCATTTCATCATGCAAAATCAATATTTAAAAAATTAAGGTATTGGACTTCCCTGGTGGTGCAGTGGTTAAGAATCCGCCTGCCAATGCAGAGGACACGGGTTTGAGCCCTGGTCCGGAAAGATGCCACATGCTGCAGAGCAACTAAGCCTGTGCGCCACAACTACTGAGCCTGCGCTCTAGAGTCCGTGAGCCACAACTACTGAGCCTGCGTGCCACAACTACTGAAGCCCACGGGCCTAGAGCCCGTGCTCCGCAACAAGAGAAGCCACCGCAATGAGAAGCTCACGCACCACAACGAAGAGTAGCCCCCACTCACCGCAACTAGAGAAAGCCCACGCACAGCAACCAAGACCCAAGGCAGCCAAAAATAAATAAATAAGGTATTTTACATTCTCTTTTTTGTACTAAGTCTTTGAAATCCAAGAATGCATTTTTTACAAAAACTGATAGTATATCTCAATTCAGATGAGCTACATTTGAAGTGCTCAATAGCCGCATGTGGCTAGCAGCCACCATATTGAATGGGGCAGAGCTAACATGATAAAAAAAAAAAAAGCGTAGAACTTAGGATAAAAAGAATGACTGATTTGCATGCCCCTTCAATTATTATGACCCAATTGCTTTAACAAGCATTGTCTTCTACCCTAAGAATATTATATTAGAATCCAGGCACTGCATTTTTCATTTACCCACCCATGTTTGTAAAATGGGAATAATCCTTGCCGTTTCTATAATTATTGTGAAAATCAAATGAGTTGATTTATTACATGTGAACTTACACTACGAGGAGTTGTGAAATGAGTTAACCTTTCAGTTTTCCTTAAGAGTTCTACAATAAGAATTTATTATCATTATACATGGAAAAAATATATTTTCAATGAAAAAAAAAGTTATTTCCTCAAGTCAGTGCTTACCAAGCACCATTTTGGTTTTACAAGAAAACATACGTTCTAACCTGTTATTAGTTTCAACAGCAGATATTTCAAACAATATGGCATCCTGGTTTATATATTAACCTGGCATATAATTTTTTAATTCAGCCAAGCTGCACCTATTCCCAAATTATTCATCTTTCTTTCCACTTAAAAAAAAAAAAGCTGGTAGCTTTAAAGGAATCAACATGCACTAACCTGTTGATAGGTCTACTGCGGCTCTTTTTTCTTCGCCTCTCAAAGTGTTGTTCATCTTCAGAAGAGGACGATGAAGTAGAGTCGCTACTGTGGATTGCATGCCTTCGCCTAAAGTAAAGAGGAAAACTGAAATCATGATGGAGGAAGGCAGGAGAAAGAGGGCATCTTACGGGATGCAAACATTAGAAATACCTAATAATCCAAAAATGTTTATCATAAAATTAATACATTTGCTGAATCAATGAAGTAAGCTTTGTTGGTTGAATCTTTTGAAGGGAATAAAAGACTTAGACAACTGAAAAGGGAAAAAAAGATAGGAGGCTGTGGTAGAGCTGACAATCAAACGTTCATTAAGACAAAACATGGTCCAGGCAGGGTGACTTCTCATTCTTAGTCTTGATATAAATCAGTTACCCTCAAAGAGAAAGGCGGGATAAAGAGGGTTTTAGAATCTTTGTGACTGTAATTTTAGAAAGTATTTTCAACATTATACTACATATAATTTACACTTGGAAGGGAATCACCTATTTTGAAATGTCAAACAACCTTAAAAGGAGAACAAGAGAATTTTATGTAAACCAAAGGGGATCAAGAAGGGTTAAAAAATGCTAACAAACTGTGAGAAATGAGATGGTCTTTTATCTATAGTATATCCTCAACTCTAAATTCACACCTGCCATTTAACAGTTGTGTAAATGTGGATGACTTAACTCAACCCATATAAGCCTCAATTTTCCCACTTTAAAAAAAAAAAAAAAAAGACTTCCCTGGTGGCACAGTGGTTAAGAATCCGCCTGCCAGGGGGCTTCCCTGGTGGTGCAGTGGTTGAGAACCTGCCTGCTAATGCAGGGGACACGGGTTCGAGCCCTGGTCTGGGAAGATCCCACATGCCACGGAGCAACTAGGCCCGTGAGCCACAGCTACTGAGCCTGCGCGTCTGGAGCCTGTGCTCCGCGACGAGAGGCCATGATAGTGAGAGGCCCCCGCTTGCCACAACTAGAGAAAGCCCTCGCACAGAAATGAAGACCCAACACAGCCAAAAATAAAATAAATAAATAAATTTTAAAAAAAAAGAATCCGCCTGCCAATGCAGGGGACACGGGTTCGAGCCCTGGTCCGGGAAGATCCCACATGCCGTGAAGCAACTAAGCCTCTGCCCCACAACTACTGAGCCTGCGCTCTAGAGTCCGCGAGCCACAACCCCTGAAGCCCACGCGCCTAGAGCCTGTGATCCGGAACAAGAGAAGCCACCGCAATGAGAAGCCCACGCACCGCAACGAGGAGTAGCCCCCACTCACCACAACTAGAGCAAGCCCGTGCGCAGCAACGAAGACCCAACACAGCCAAAAATAAATTAATTTGAAAAAAAAAGATAAAAATAGGGCTTCCCTGGTGGTGCAGTGGTTGAGACTCCGCCTGCCGATGCAGGGGACACGGGTTCGTGCCCCGGTCCGGGAAGATCCCACATGCCGCAGAGCGGCTGGGCCCGTGAGCCATGGCCGCTGAGCCTGCACGTCCGGAGCCTGTGCTCCGCAACGGGAGAGGCCGCAATAGTGAGAGGCCCGCGTACCGCAAAAAAAAAAAAAAAAAAAAGATAAAAATAATCAAAATCGTAGGCTGGTTGGTAGTATTGAATACGATGCTGATATATGTGGAATCTAGAAAAATGGTACAGATGAACCTGTTTGCAAGTCAGAAATAGAGACACAGGTGTAGGGAACAAACTTATGGACATCAAGGGGGGAAAATGGCGGGTGGGGTGGTGGTGGTGGGATGAATTGGGAGATTGGGGTTGACATATATACACTAATATGTATAAAATAGAAACTAATAAGAACCTGCTGTATAAAAAAATAAATAAAATTCAAAACAAAAATACAATGCTGAGTGCTGCAAATACTCAAAAAGTTTTAAAATCACTTCTGCCTTTGGACAGTTGCAAAGACCCACAGAATAAAAACAGAATCTGGCTGGGAAAACCTTTAATCATTCTATTGGCTCAGGGTCTAGAGCATTTCCTGAGTCAGAGTACAATCATAGTTAAGTAGGTATGTCCAAAAATATAAAAGGTTCACAATCTATTATCCGAGAAATTGAGGTCCAGAATCTTATACCTAAAAAAAACCTCTGAAAGCAACTTTTTCCATTATTCACTTAGCAGCAAAACATGACTTGAAATGTCATAAAGGCAATTCAAAATCTCTATTTGTCCTGCTTACTATGGTTATTCATACATTTTACTATAAAATTAATATATCTGATTATACAGTGCTGGCCCAGACACACCTACAAATGTTAATATTGCCCATTATATATGTTGTATGTTTTCTTTGTAAATCGCTCCCCCAAATCTGAATTCTGAAATATAAAGCAGCCCCAGGGTTTTGATAAGGGGTTGTGGAAACAGATATAAGTGAGAAAATAATCCTTCACCATCTACCCATTCAAACACGTCCAAAGATCATATTTGTGATCTGCCTGTAAAACCACCGAGTACAAGTCTGCAGTTTTATATGCAAGACTAACTTATTTAATACTATCATTAATATTATAATAGAATCTTACTTATAATTTTGTAATATACATAATTGTGTGTGAATTCAGTAGGTATTCACATAATTAAGACTAACAATTAATAAAAAGGACTAACATTTACTAAGTGTTTCTTGTACCAGGTGGTTGACATATTATCAAACTTAATTAAAACTGGACAAGTACATATTAGTAGGCTCATTATACAGTCGGGGCCAACGTGGCTCATAGTTTAAAGAACTTGCTTAAAATATCAGAATTAGTCAATTCTGTATAATTCAAAACCTTTGTCTATTTAAAAAAAAATCCACCTTCTGTACACTACCACATTGATGATCTCCAGTTGTTTATTTCATAAACCAATAAAGTTATAAGCAAACAACAAAACCTTGTGGACTGAGAAAGTTTCCAACATCTGATGTGCAAAGTAGGGATTATTTTTGAACATTATAGTTACAAACGCATACAGAACTTAACATGTGCCAGATACTATTTTAAACATTTTATAGGTATTAACTCACCTAATTTGCACAATACTATGAGATAGGTGCTACTGTCTCCATTCTACAGATCAAAAAACTAAAGCATGAAGAGGATAAATAACTTGGAAAAGGTCATTAATAAGTGGTAGAGCTGAACTCACAACCTAGGCAGTTCTAGTTCTTCAAAATTACACTGTAAAAAGGCCATTATTTCAGTTTTTAAAAAAAATTCTAAATACATATACCCACATTCACTTTTTCCTTTTTCCATTTTACTAATAACTTTTGAAAAATTTGGCACAGACAGCACTGAACCAGCACTTTGAACCTAACCAGAGTGTCTAGAGTTGCCAGTTCTAGTTCCTTGACAACCAGTAACGTGTACTTTGTAATACCGGTGAAGCAATTGTGCTATTTATGTTACCTTCTTGTTTAAAGGGGCTAGGCTTGTTCCAGAAACTCCAAACTGAAGCTAAAGAGTAAACCTTAGATGACTAGAGGTTAGCAATCACAAGGAAGAAAGAAAATCCTACTTAAAGGCAGCATTTCTGAAGTTCTGCTATGTAAGTACGCCAAAGACCCTTCAAAAATCCTACATTGTGGCTGCAAGTTTCACTAAGAGCAATGTTCAAACAACTCTTTGGATGTGTGCTTTCTTTCCCTGCCTAAGTAGGATATAAATGATAAACAGAAGCTGGTCTCTTCAAGAAAAAGTAAGAAGACTAATAAGCCAAATGACTACCATTAAAGTTGTTAGAAGGAATGAGATGTTAACTCCACCATGGTGAAGAAATTGAAAAAAAAAAAAAGGTTTAAAGGGCTACATTCAAAAGATCAGGTAATAACAAGTGTTAGTAAAGGTGTAGAGAAATTGGAACTCTAGTACATTGCTTGTGGAAATGTAAAGTGCAGCAGCCATTTTGGAAAGACAATCTGGCAATTCCTCAAAACATTAAATATAGTTAGCATTTGATCTAGCAATTCCACTTTTAGGTATATACCCAAGAGAAATGAAAACATTTGTTCACACAAAAAGTTGTACATGAATGTTCATAATAGCATTACTCATAATAGCCAAAAAGTAGAATCAACCCAAATGCCCATCAACAAATAAAGGGATAAATGAAGTATAGTATATTTATACAATGGAATCTTATTTGGCAATAAAAAGGAATGAAGTACTAATACATCCTACAATGCGGATGAACCTTGAAAATGTTATACCAAGCAAAAGAAGCCAGTCACAAAGAATTCCACTTATATGAAATACCCAGAATCTATACGGACAGAAAGTAGAACAGTGGTAGGTTAGGGCTGGAAGCATTGGCGAGTGATAACTCAAGAGTACAGGGTTACATTTCTTTTTTCTTTTTTTTGATCACACCATGCATGTACGGGATCTCAGTTCCCTGGTCAGGGATGGAACCTGTACCCCTTACATTGGGAGAGCTGAGTCTTAACCACTGGACCACCAAGGAAGTCCCCAGGGTTACTTTTTGAGGCAAGAAAAATGTTCTAAAATTGTGGTGGTTGGGATTTCCCTGGTGGTCCAGTGGGTAAGATTCCACTCTCCCAATGCAAGGGGCCCAGGTTTGATCCCTAGTAGGGGAACTAGATCCCACATGCATGCCGCAACTAAGAGTTTGCATGCCACAACTAAGAAGTCCACATGCTGCAACTAAAAGATTCCACATGCTGCAACAAAGATCCCGCGTGCCACAACTAAGACCTGGTGCAGCCAAAATAAATAAATAAATAAAATTAATATTAAAAAAATAAAACAAAATTGTGGTGATAGTTGCACAACTCAGTGAATAAAAACCATTGAATTGTATACTTTAAATGGGCGAACTATATGGCATGTGAATTATATCACAATAAAGTTGTTATCAAAAAGAAAAAGTCTAAAGGGAATTATCAAAACCAACACCAAGGTAATTAAGTCAAATAATGTGACTCAGGGTACAGATTAAACCTCTTGGTTCATAGTTTAAATGAGTCAGAATCCTCTACTAGTCCGAGATCCAAGGGCAGGAATTCTGACTTAAGTCATTTTTATATCCATAGTGCTTGGCACATAGTAGTACTCAAACATTTGTTAAATAATAGCAGGGGGAAAAAATCCTGTACACAAGGAGCTATGCAATGACATGAGACACTCTCCACAGAGAAAGAGTATACCCTGTGAACCAAATATGGGAACTCAAGCACCAAAGAGGCAAAAAAAATTCCTCCCTACTGCAAGATATATCGTAGGTGGTGATTACAGAGGTAAGTCAATCAACAAGCATGTTAATTCCAGAAATATAAACACATTAAATATGGGAAAAGAAATTAAATTTCAAAGTAACTGCCAGCCTCTCGCTTCTGTGGGATCAAACATAGGCCTGTTTTGTGAGTCAGTCAACCAAGACAGCTGCCCTGGGCCCTATGCTTGATGGGGACTCCAGGGAGCACTACACCTTACTCTCATTTTCTGAAGATCATTAAATTACACTATCAAAATATTGGTCTTTAACAATATCCTATGGGGCCTATGAAAAGTACTGACAGCATAGCCTCCTTTTTTTTTTTTAATGTTTATTAACTTATTTTGGCTGCACTGGGTCTTAGTTGTGGCACGCAGGATCTTTGTTGTGGCACGTGGACTTCTTAATCGCAGCACGCATGTGGGATCTAGTTCCCTGACCAGCTATCGAACCCGGGCCCCCGGAACTGGGAGCGCTGAGTCTTACCCACTGGACCATCACAAAAGTCCCTGGCCTCTTTTCTTTTTTTGTGTGTGTGTTTAACTTTTTTTTTTTAATTGAAGTATAGTTGATTTACAATGTTCTGTTAGTTTCAGGTGTACAGCACAACGATTCAGTTATACATACATATATATGTAAGAATATGTATATATTCTTTTTCAGATTCTTTTCCCTTATAGGTTATTACAAGATATTGAGTATAGTTCCCTGTGCTATACAGGTCCTTGTTGGTTACCTATTTTATTTTATTATTTATTTATTTATTTAAAAATTTATTTATTATTTTTGGCTGCATTGGGTCTTCGTTGCTGCGCACAGGCTTTCTCTAGTTGCGGCGAGCGGGGGCTACTCTTTGTTGCAGTGCGCAGGCTTCTCACTGAGGTGGCTTCTCCTGTTGTGGAGCACGGGCTCTAGGCACGCAGGCTTCAGTAGTTGTGACTGGCCTCTTTTCAAGTGCAGTTTATCTTGGGCAGCCCTGACAGGTTGTCTTTCTGATTCTCTATGCTTCTGGGCTCTGGTTGTGTGAAAAGGGATGATGAAACAAGAAATCTAGACCGTACACTTGTGATTTTGAGACTCTGAACATCAAATTAAAAGACCCTGGGTTCATATTTGTCCTAGAAGAGAGAAATTTTTCAGTACCTATAGAGGTGTTGCCTTCCATGGCCAAAACATGATCAGATATAGTCTGCTTCTATGAGGAGGCTTCTAAAAACTGTTCGAATAGCTGAAGTCTCATAAGACTTCAGTCTTACTTCTGAGCACATTAATAATACTAGGAAAAAAGCACCATTCCCCACATGAGTGTCATTTTTTTCTGCCTTTTTAGGCTTCAACCTATAAGCTTTCTCATTCATGAACTACTATAATGCTACTATTACCCAGAAAATTCTAATGCATCAGAAAATCTGTTATTACTCAGGAGAATGAAGAAATAACAAGAATTACCTCTTTAGACTTAAGTATGACAGACAGGCAACAAGTGTTAGGATGTAGAAGGAAAAGAAACCCACAAATAATTTGAATAGTCATAGAAAATTAATGTTTCCCAGTATGTAAGAAGAGCAAATTTGAAAAATATATCCAAAAATGGATGGTCACAGTCATAAGTCTAGAAGCTATGTAACTTAGAATTTGTCATGGTAAGAAAATATATCTAGGACAGTATGTGAAGAGAAGACTAAACCTATACTCTAACTTAATGTGAAAATTAAATGAAACAATCTATGTAAAATGCTTAACACCAAGCCAGGAATACAGTAAACACTGAAGCAAAGGTAGCTCTCTATTATTAGTGTGGAACAGTGGAATAAACTACCTTACCATGGTAGTTGTTAACAATTCCTATCAGTGGAAGCAAAACCAAAAACTAGTCAGTGGTAGTGGGGATTAGAACACCAAAGGCATAGAGCTAACTCTCCCAAATATACAATTCTAGAATTCTATCCTGATACACCTAATCCTAAGACTCTACAATCCTACCTTAACATACAGACAACTATGTTGTCATAAATCAGTCACTATTTCAGAACCAAACCTGTTCATTCGTTTACAATAAGGACTTCTTGGTCCCGCAGAAGATAATCGATATCTTGGTCTTTTGGGAGAAGCTGGGCCACTATAAAATATGTTGGGCTTTCTCTGATGACGAGGTTCTAAAAAAAAAAATTATATGTATGTGACATATAAATATGTATAAAGACAATTTTGCTCTTCACCTAAATATTTACAATGATGCTACTTTCCATGAAAATACTAGTACATATCTACTGTAGAATATTTTACTGTTCATGTTTTAAATCGTTTACGCCTGCAACGTTGCTGTTGAATATATATGTGTAGCATAGACAACAACTAACCAAAACACACACTGGCCATAAACAGCCATTATGATTATACTGATGCATAATAGCTGATTATCAGCTTTGCATATATACGCTCAGATGTATTGAGGTGCAACTTTAACATAAATCAAAAGCGATCCTATTTATACTAACTTATAAAATAAAGTACAGGGCTTCTGGGAAGATGGCGGAAGAGTAAAACGCGGAGATCACCTTTCTCCCCACAGATACACCAGAAATACATCTACATGTGGCACAACTCCTACAGAACACCTACTGAACGCTGGCAGAAGACCTCAGACCTCCCAAAAGGCAAGAAACCCCCAGTAACAGGGGTGCGGGGGGCAAAGCGGAGAGATTCCCGCACAGAGGATCGGTGCCGACCGGCACTCACCAGCCCGAGAAGCTTGTCTGCTCCCCAGCCTGGGCGGGCGGGGCTGGGAGCTGAGGCTCCGGCTTCGGCCGGAGCGCCGGGGGAGGACTGGGGTTCGCGGCATGAACACAGCCAGCCGTGGGTTAGTGCGCCACGGCTGGCCGGGAGGGAGTCCAGGGAAAAGTCTGGACCTGCCGAAGAGGTAAGAGACTTTCTTCCTTCTTTGTATCCTTATTCGCTAGGAGAGGGGATTCAGGGTGCTACTAAAATGAGCTCCAGAGGCGGGCGTGAGCCGCGGCTAAAAGGGCCTCAGTCGCTAAGGCCGCTGCTGCCGTCACCAAGAAACCTTTGTGCGATCACAGGTCACTATCCACACGCCACTTCCGGAGAGCCTGTGCAGCCCGCCACTGCCAGGTTCCCGGTAACCAGGGACAACTCCCCTGGGAGAACGCGCACGGCGCGCCTCAGGCTGGTGCAACGTCACGCCGGCCTCTGCCGTCGCAGGCTCACCCCACACTCCGTGCCCCTCCCCCCACCTCCGGCCTGGGTGAGCCGGAGCCCCTGAATCAGCGGCTCCTTTGACCCCATCCTGTCTAAGCGAAGAACAGACGCCCTCCGGGGACCTACACGCAGAGGTGGGGCCAAATCCAAAGCTGAGCCCCTGGGAGATGTGAGAACAAAGAAGAGAAAGGGAAATCTCTCCCAGCAGCCTCAGAAGCAGCGGATTAAAGCTCCACAATCAACTTGATGTACCCTGCATCTGTGGAATACATGAATAGACAACGATCATCCCAAATTGACGAGGTGGACTTTGAGAGCAAGATTTATGATTTTTTTCCCCTTTTCCTTTTTTTGTGAGTGTGTATGTGTATGCTTCTATGTGAGATTCTGTCTGTATAGCTTTGCTTCCACCATTTGTCCTAGGGTTCTATCCGTCCGTTTGTTGTTGTTTTAATTTTTTTTCTTTTTTTCTCTTAATAATTATTTTAATAACTTTATTATATTTTATCTTACTTTATTTTATTTTACTTTATCTTCTTTCTCTCTTTTTTCCTTCCTTCCCTCCTTCCTTCCTTCCTCCCTCCCTCCCTCCTTTCTTTCTTTCTTTCTACTTCTACTAATTCTTTCTTTCTACTTTTTCTCCCTTTTATTCTGAGCCGTGTGGATGAAAGGCTCTTGGTGCTGCAGCCAGGATTCAGTGCTGTGCCTCTGAGGTGGGACAGCCAACTTCAGGACACTGGTCCACAAGAGACCTACCAGCTCCACATAATATCAAACGGCGGAAATCTCCCAGAGATCTCCATCTCAACGCCAAGACCCAGCTCCACTCAACGACCAGCAAGCTACAGTGCAGGACGCCCTATGCCAAACAACTAGCAAGACAGGAACACAACCCCACCCATTAGCAGAGAGGCTGCCTAAAATCATAATAAGTCCACAGACACCCCAAAACACACCACCAGACGTGGACCTGCCCACCAGAAAGACAAGATCCAGCCTCATCCACCAGAACACAGGCACTAGTCCCCTCCACCAGGAAGACTACACAACCCACTGAACCAACCTTAGCCACTGGGGACAGACACCAAAAACAGCGGGAATTACGAACCTGCAGCCTGCAAAAAGGAGACCCCAAACACAGTAACTTAAGCAAAATGAGAAGACAGAAAAACACACAGCAGATGAAGGAGCAAGATAAAAACCCACCAGACCTAACAAATGAAGAGGAAATAGGCAGTCTACCTGAAAAAGAATTCAGAATAATGATAGTAAAGATGATCCAAAATCTTGGAAATAGAATAGACAAAATGCAAGAAACATTTAACAAGGACCTAGAAGAACTAAAGATGAAACAAACAACGATGAACAACACAATAAATGAAATGAAAAAGACTCTAGATGGGATCAATAGCAGAATAACTGAGGCAGAAGAACGGATAAGTGACCTGGAAGATAAAATAGTGGAAATAACTACTGCAGAGCAGAATAAAGAAAAAAGAATGAAACGAACTGAGGACAGTCTCAGAGACCTCTGGGACAACATTAAACGCACCAACATTCGAATTATAGGGGTTCCAGAAGAAGAAGAGAAAAAGAAAGGGACTGAGAAAATATTTGAAGAGATTATAGTTGAAAACTTCCCTAATATGGGAAAGGAAATAGTTAATCAAGTCCAGGAAGCACAGAGAGTCTCATACAGGATAAATCCAAGGAGAAACACGCCAAGACACATATTAATCCAACTGTCAAAAATTAAATACAAAGAAAACATATTAAAAGCAGCAAGGGAAAAACAACAAATAACACACAAGGGAATCCCCATAAGGTTAACAGCTGATCTTTCAGCAGAAACTCTGCAAGCCAGAAGGGACAGGCAGGACATATTTAAAGTGATGAAGGAGAAAAACCTACAACCAAGATTACTCTACCCAGCAAGGATCTCATTCAGATTTGATGGAGAAATTAAAACCTTTACAGACAAGCAAAAGCTAAGAGAATTCAGCACCACCAAACCAGCTTTACAACAAACGCTAAAGGAACTTCTCTAGGCAGGAAACACAAGACAAGGAAAAGACCTACAATAACAAACCCAAAACAATTAAGAAAATGGTGACAGGATCATACATATCAATAATTACCTTAAATGTAAATGGACTAAATGCTCCCACCAAAAGACACAGATGGGCTGAATGGATACAAAAACAAGACCCATATATTTGCTGTCTACAAGAGACCCACTTCAGACCTAGAGACACATACAGACTGAAAGTAAGGGGATGGAAAAAGATATTTCATGCAAATGGAAACCAAAAGAAAGCTGGAGTAGCAATTCTCGTATCAGACAAAATAGACTTTAAAATAAAGACTATTAGAAGAGACAAAGAAGGACACTACATAACGATCAAGGGATCGATCCAAGAAGAAGATATAACAATTGTAAATATTTATGCACCCAACACAGGAGCACCTCAATACATAAGGCAAATACTAACAGCCATAAAAGGGGATATCGACAGTAACACATTCATAGTAGGGGAATTTAACACCCCACTTTCACCAATGGACAGATCATCCAAAATGAAAATAAATAAGGAAACACAAGCTTTAAATGATACATTAAACAAGATGGACTTAATTGATATTTATAGGACATTCCATCCAAAAAAACAGAATACACATTTTTCTCAAGTGCTCATGGAACATTCTCCAGGATAGATCATATCTTGGGTCACAAATCAAGCCTTGGTAAATTTAAGAAAATCGAAGTTGTATCAAGTATCTTTTCCAACCACAATGCTATGAGACTAGATATCAATTATAGGGAATGATCTGTAAAAAATACAAACACATGGAGGCTAAACAATACACTACTTAATAACGAAGTGATCAGTGAAGAAATCAAAGAGGAAATTAAAAAATACCTAGAAACAAATGACAATGAAAACACGACAACCCAAAACCTATGGGATACAGCAAAAGCAGTTCTAAGAGGGAAGTTTATAGCAATACAAGCCTACTTTAAGAAACAGGAAACATCTCGAATAAACAACCTAACCTTGCACCTAAAGCAATTAGAGGAAGAAGAACAAAAAACCCCCAAAGTTAGCAGAAGGAAAGAAATCATAAAAATCAGATCAGAAATAAATGAAACAGAAATGAAGGAAACAATAGCAAAGATCAATAAAACTAAAAGCTGGTTCTTTGAGAAGATAAACAAAATTGATAAACCATTAGCCAGACTCATCAAGAAAAAAAGGGAGAAGACTCAAATCAATAGAATTAGAAATGAAAAAGGAGAAGTAACAACTGACACTGCAGAAATACAAAGGATCATGAGAGATTACTACAAGCAACTATATGCCAATAAAATGGAAAACCTGGAAGAAATGGACAAATTCTTAGAAATGCACAACCTGCCAAGACTGAATCAGGAAGAAACAGAAAATATGAACAGACCAATCACAAGCACTGAAATTGAAACTGTGATTAAAAATCTTCCAACAAACAAAAGCCCAGGACCAGATGGCTTCACAGGCAAATTCTATCAAACATTTAGAGAAGAGCTAACACTTATCCTTCTCAAACTCTTCCAAAATATAGCAGAGGGAGGAACACTCCCAAACTCATTCTACGAGACCACCATCACCCTGATACCAAAACCAGACAAGGATGTCACAAAGAAAGAAAACTATAGGCCAATATCACTGATGAACATAGATGCAAAAATCCTCGACAAAATACTAGCAAACAGAATCCAAAAGCACATTAAACGGATCATACACCATGATCAAGTGGGGTTTACTCCAGGAATGCAAGGATTCTTCAATATACGCAAATCAATCAACGTGATACACCATATTAACAAACTGAAGGAGAAAAACCATATGATCATCTCGATAGATGCAGAGAAAGCTTTCGACAAAATTCATCACCCATTTATGATAAAAACCCTGCAGAAAGTAGGCATAGAGGGAACTTTCCTCAACATAATAAAGGCCATATATGACAAACCCACAGCCAACATCGTCCTCAATGGTGAAAAACTGAAAGCATTTCCACTAAGATCAGGAACAAGACAAGGTTGCCGACTCTCACCACTCTTATTCAACATAGTTTTGGAAGTTGTAGCCACAGCAACCAGAGAAGACAAGGAAATAAAAGGAATCCAAATCGGAAAAGAAGAATTAAAGCTTTTACTGTTTGCAGATGACATGATACTATACATAGAGAATCCTAAAGATGCTATCAGAAAACTGCTAGAGCTAATCAATGAATTTGGTAAAGTAGCAGGATACAAAATTAATGCACAGAAATCTCTGGCATTCCTATACACTAATGATGAAAAATCTGAAAGTGAAATCAAGAAAACACTCCCACTTACCACTGCAACAAAAAGAATAAAATATCTAGGAATAAACCTACCTAAGGAGACAAAAGACCTGTATGCAGAAAATTATAAGACACTGATGAAAGAAATTAAAGACGATACAAATAGATGGAGAGATACACCATGTTCTTGGATTGGAAGAATCAACATTGTGAAAATGACTCTGCTACCCAAAGCAATCGACAGATTCAATGCAATCCCTATCAAACTACCACTGGCATTTTTCACAGAACTAGAACAAAAAATTTCACAATTTGTATGGAAACACAAAAGACCCCGAATAGCCAAAGCAATCTGTTTTTTTTTTCAAAGCAATCTTGAGAATGAAAAACGGAGCTGGAGGAATGAGGCTCCCTGACTTCAGACTATACTACAAAGCTACAGTAATCAAGACAGTATGGTACTGGCACAAAAAGAGAAAGATAGATCAATGGAACAGGACAGAAAGCCCAGAGATAAACCCATGCACATACGGACACCTTATCTTTGATAAAGGTGGCAGGAATGTACAGTGGAGAAAGGACAGCCTCTTCAATAAGTGGTGCTGGGAAAACTGGACAGGTACATGTAAAAGTACGAGATTAGATCACTCCCTAACACCATACACAAAAATAAGCTCAAAATGGATTAAAGACATAAATGTAAGGCCAGAAACTATCAAACTCTTAGAGGAAAACATAGGCAGAACACTCTATGACATGAATCACAGCAAGATCCTTTCTGACCCACCTCCTAGAGAAAAGGAAATAAAAACAAAAATAAACAAATGGGACCTAATGAAACTTCAAAGCTTTTGCACAGCAAAGGAAACCATAAACAAGACCAAAAGACAACCCTCAGAATGGGAGAAAATATTTGCAAATGAAGCAACTCACAAAGGATGAATCTCCAAAATTTACAAGCAGCTCATGCAGCTCAATAACAAAAAAACAACCCAGTCCAAAAATGGGCAGAAGACGTAAATAGACATTTCTCTAAAGAAGATATACGGACTGCTACCAAACACATGAAAGAATGCTCAACATCACTAATCATTAGAGAAATGCAAATCAAAACTACAATGAGATATCATCTCATACCAGTCAGAATGGCCATCATCAAAAAAACCTAGAAACAATAAATGCTGGAGAGGGTGTGGAGAAAAGGGAACACTCTTGCACTGTTGGTGGGAATGTGAATTGGTACAGCCACTACGGAGAACAGTATGGAGGTTCCTTAAAAAACTACAAATAGAACTATCATATGACCCAGCAATCCCACTACTGGGCATATACCCTGAGAAAACCATAATTCAAAAAGAGTCATGTACCAAAATGCTCATTGCAGCTGTATTTACAATAGCCTGGAGATGGAAACAACCTAAGTGTCCATCATCGGATGAATGGATAAAGAAGATGTGGCACGTATATACAATGGAATATTACTCAGCCATAAAAGGAAACGAAATTGAACTATTTGTAATGAGGTGGATAGACCTAGAGTCTGTCATACAGAGTGAAGTAAGTCAGAAAGAGAGAGACAAATACCGTATGCTAACACATATATATGGAATTTAAGAAAAAAAAAATGTCATGAAGAGCCTAGGAGTAAGAGAGGAATAAAGACCCAGACCTACGAGAGAATGGATTTGAGGATATGGGGAGGGGGAGGGGTGAGCTGTGACAAAGCGAGAGAGAGGCATGGACATATATACACTACCAAATGTAAAATAGATAGCTAGTGGGAAGCAGCCGCATGGCACAGGGAGATCGGCTCGGTGCTTTGTGACCGCCTGGAGGGGTGGGATAGGGAGGGTGGGAGGGAGGGAGACGCAAGAGGGAAGAGATATTGGAACATATGTATATATATAACTGATTCATTTTGTTGTAAAGCAATTATACTCCAATAAAGATGTTAAAAAAAAATAAAGTACAAAGCTGTGAAAACTAAAATAATTAAAGACAGACATGAAATTTCAAAATAATCCAATTATTTACTTCCATCAAGGCTAACATTTAACTTTCTTTAGAAGAAATAACTTCTTGCACATCTTGGGTAAGTTATGAAAGACAACAGCCATGAGTATTCTGCAAAATGAAAACATGAAAAATAAGGATAACAGAAGAAAGGCAGTGAAGATAAAGGAAACCTGATTACATCTTCTCCTGGAAAAAAAAAAAAAAAAAGATAGCACTTACTTTCCAATGGAGCCTGATAGTAAACAGTAGCTTTTCTCTGTCTAAGATAATATCGTTTCTGATTATCTTCTTCTCCATCCTCTTCATCTTCATCGTCATCATCTTCATCATCGTCATCTTCTTCATCATCGTCATCTTCATCATCATCTTCATCTTCACCATCATCTTCATCTTCCTGGTCTTCACCCTCTTCGGATGACTCTACAATTAAGAAACATTTACTTTCAGGCTTCTCACCCACATGCTAACAATTTTTAAAATAGGGGAATAGAAAAAGTCTCTCCTTTTAAAATTTATTTACTTCTAGGTTGTTCATAGAAAGAATCTGTAATTCTGCAACATCAAATGAAGATTTTTTAAAAATGAAGTAAAAAACTATAGAATTAAAAACAACTAGGGGAAGGAAAAAAGTAGTTTAAAGGCTACTACCAGTACATACCAAACTAAAGTTTATAGCATTACTGCTAATTTCATTGATATAGTGGACTTCTGGCTGCCACTGAGTTACATGCAGTATAACTCAAATAATCTACTTAAGATAATGTAAAACACCCTCACCAAACATTTAAAATGCATTTCGGAAAACTGATTTTCATTCAATAAAAGTTCTAAGAAATTGCAGCAATAAGTCCTAAACAGAATAGTAAAACTCAACTTTAACTTTTAACTCAAACAGGCAGAGAGAGATATGCTGTCTGTAGATGTATTACACAAGCAAACCAGTTTCATTTGTTTTAGCATGTTTAAGTACTTTCCCAACAAGACATATTACCCTTTTATCTCCCCTGCCTTCACTTTTTCTTTGAAACTATGATAACCCTAATTTATCATAAACTACCATAAATGTCACAGCTTCTGAATAAAAAGGCTATATTCTGCTAAATAAAACCCAGAAGATAGAACAAGAGAAAAGACTAACCCACACTGCCTTCTTGATTGTCAGTTGTTTCTTCATCAGTTCTTTGAATACCTTTTTGTTTTCCTCTTGTGTACATATGAAGATTCCCCTAAAAATATGTAAATAAAATCCATTAAAGTTTAGTATGTTTATTTAAAAGAATCCAGTAGGGCCTTCCAATCCTACTGAAAATGAAGATATTTCCAGCTATAAACTCTTAAAACTCCAGCAATAACTAGTGACTGATCAAACAAATGCTGAACAAAATGATGAATAATTTAACCAAGAAATGGATAGGTTCTAGAGAAAAAAGGTTAAACTGGAGATTATTAAATCATCCCCTTAATGGAAGAATATATTTACTTCTTCTGTTTCATTAAACACTCCCAAGTCTTCAAGTTGTCTCATTCGCTGTCTACGCATCTTCTTCATATCATCCATTTTTTGAAGTACAGCTTCAGCAGTGCTTTAAAAAAAATGATATAAAAATAAGCTAAAACTGTAAAAGAGTAGTATATTTTAGGACTTCCCTGGTGGCGCAGTGGTTAAGAATCCGCCTGCCAATGCAGGGGACACGGGTTCGAGCCCTAGTGCGGGAAGATCCCACATGCCGCGGAGCGACTAAGCCCATGCGCCACAGCTACTGAGCCTACACTCTATAGAGCCCACACTCCGCAACAAGAGAAGCCACCACAATAAGAAGCCTGCGCACCACAACAAAGAGTAGCCCTAGCTCAATGCAACTAGAGAAAGCTCGCATGCAGCAACGAAGACCCAACGCAGCCAGAAATAAACAAATTTATTTAAAAAATAAAAGAGTAGTATATTTTTAAAAACTTCATTTTTCTTCCATTGTATTCTCTGAGTGCTGGGATTTTAAATACCCTTAATAGAAGCACTGATTTACTAATGTAAAAATATTTCATATTCTTTGTAAGAATTTAAATACACATACAGATTACAAAGTCCTCTAATAATCACTCTCCTTTATACTTTACATAAACTGAATGCATTAAATACTCCTGCTAGTCAAAACTTAGTCCCCAACAAAAAGTTTTTTGCCAGCTAAATAATCTTGATCTAAATTTTTACTTACTTTGTTATAAGTTTGTCAAATAGTACAGACTGGTTCACGCTACCATAACGACTTCTAATCCTGCAACTTCGGCGAACTTCAACATCACCGTTCTCTTCATGCAAGCGTTCTGTCTTTTGAACTATGTTTCTAGTCCTCAATGACCGAGTAACTGTAATTACTTTGTCTTCATAGATGTGTACATAAAAGCAAGTAGAAAGATTTGAAATAACAGCATTTATAAAACAATTCTAAAATGAACAACTGAATAGCTACACTTTCATATAACGAAATTTTAGTTTCTTGAACTTACCCTTCTCAAAAATACTAGAAAACAAAAATAAAGTTACAACATACACCTACCATAGGTCCAGCCATACCACTCTCAAGAAAAAATGAAAGCTATATATATAATACAAAGACTTGTACACAATGTTCAAAGCAGTTTTGTGACAGTCCCCAAATGGAAACAACCCAAATGTCCATCAAAAGATGAAACTGTGGGAAACAACCTAAGTGTCCATCAATAGGTGAATGGATAAAGATGTGGAATATACACACAATAGAATATTATTCAGCCATGAGAAAGGACATCCTGCTATTTGCAGTAATATGGATGGACCTTGAGGGCATTATACTAAGTGAAATAAGTCAGAGAAAGACAAATACTGAATGATATCACTTACATGTTCAATCTAGAAAAACCAAACTCATAGAAACAGACTAGAATGATGGTTACAAAGGACTGGGAAGTGAGAGAAAAAGGGGAGATTGTTAGTCAAAGAGTACAAATTTTCAGCCATAAAATGAGTAAGTTCTGGGGCTCTAATGTACAGCAGAGTGGCTATAGTTAGTAATACTGTATTGCAGGGGTCCCCAACCCACGAGCCTGTTAGGAACCAGACCGCACAGCAGGAGGTGAGCAGCAGGTGATCAAGCGAAGCTTCATCTGTATTTACAGTCGCTCCCCATCACTTGCATTACCGCCTGAGCTCCGCCTCCTGTCAGATCAGTGGCGGCATTAAGATTCTCATAGGAGCTCAAACCCTACTGTGAACTGAGCATGCGAGGGATCTAGGTTGCACACTCCTTATGAGAACCTAACGCCTGATGATCTGAGGTGGAGCTGAGGCAGTGACGCTAGCGCTGGGGAGCGGGTGCAAATACAGATTATCATTAGCAGAGAGATTTGACTGCACAGAGACCATAATAAATCAATTGCTTGCCGACTCATACCAAAACCCTATCGGTGAGTGGCAAGTGAAAACAAGCTCAGGGCTCCCACTGATTCTGCATTATGGTGAGTTGTATAATTATTTCATTATATATTACAATGTAATAATAACAGAAATAAGGTGCACAATAAATGTAATGCTCTTGAATCATCCCCAAACCATCCCAACACCCCCGCCCCCCGATCCGTGGAAAAATTGTCTTCCATGAAATTGGTCCCTGCTGCCAAACAGGATGGAGACTGCTACCATATTGTATACTTTAAAGTTGCTGGGAGAGTGGATCTTGAGTGTTCTCAGCACAAAAAAGAAATGGTAATTATGTGACATGATGCAGGTGTTAGATAAAGCCACGGTAATAATCATTTTGCAATATATAAGTATCAAATCAACAATGCAATGTACTCCTTAAGTTAAGGCAATGTTATATGCCAATTATATTAAAATAAAGCTAAGGAAAAAAAATTGTGGTATATCCACATAATGGAATACTACTCAGTAATAAAAAGCAACAACATGGATGATACTCAAAGTAATTATGCTGAGTCAAAGAAGCCAAAGAAGAATGCATGCCGTATAATTCCATTAATATAAAACTCTAGACAATACAAACTCACCATACTCTACAGCACTCTGTAGAGTGCTGTCACACTCTCTACAGTGACAGCAAGCAGATTGGTGGCTGCCCAGGAATCTTGGATCATGGAGAGGAGCTAGAGGAGCCAGGAGCGATTACAAAGGGGCCTGAGGAAATCCTGGAGGGTGATGGTTATCTTTACTACCTTATCGTGGTGATGGTTTGACGGCATGCACTTATATCAAAACCAAACAAACTGTACACTTCAAATATGGAGTTTATTGTATGTACCACAATATGCCTGTAAACAAAATACTAAATACATGCTTTAAAAAATTTAAATGCCTTTAACATTACTTACCTTCTTTGCACTCTTCTTTTTTTTTATCAGCCTGCTGTCTGGCCAACTGCCTATATGAAAAAAATATAGCAAATAATTCAAAATAATTTTAAATCCTATATAATACTACAAACTAGGACCAAAAATTAAATCAGCTTGTAGGGTAAATACTTAGAGTTACCTAAAAACCAGTGAAAAAATAGCGTGAGAATACCTATGCTTATATATTGTTATGGCTGAGAACCCTGTTGTGAAATTCAATGATATACAGCTGTGTCTCAGTAACTGCAAGGGATTGGTTCCAGGACCCCACATGGATACCAAAATCCGAGGATGCTCAAGTCTCTTATATAAAATGGCATAGTATTTGCATATAACCTCTGCCCATCCTCTTTTTTTTTTATTATTATTATTATTTTTTTTTTTTGCGGTACGCGGACCTCTCACTGTTGCGGCCTCTCCCGTTGCGGAGCACAGGCTCCGGACGCGCAGGCTCAGCGGCCATGGCTCACGGGCCCAGCCGCTCCGTGGCACGTAGGATCTTCCCGGACTGGGGCACGAACCCACGTCCCCTGCATCGGCACGGGGACTCTCAACCACTGCGCCACCAGGGAAGCCCCATCCTCTTGTATTTTTTTTTTAATAAACTTATTTATTTTTGGCTGCGTTGTGTCTTCCTTGCTGTGCGTGGGCTTTCTCTAGCTGCCGCAAGTGGGGGCTACTCTTCATTGAGGTGCGCAGTCTTCTCTTGTTGCGGAACATGGGCTCTAGGCATGCGGGCTTCAGTAGTTGTGGCACGTGGGCTCAGTAGTTGTGGCACATGGGCTCTAGAGTGCAGGCTCAGTAGTTGTGGCGCATGGGCTTAGGTGTTCCGCCGCATGTGGGAATCTTCCCGGACCAGGGCTCGAACACGTGTACCCTGCGTTGGCAGGCAGATTCTTAACCACTGTGCCATCAGGGAAGCCTGTCCTCTTATATACTTTAAATCACCTCTAGTTTACTTATAATACCTAATACAATGTAAATACTATGTAAACAGTTGTTGGTGAGTGGTAAATTCCAGTTTTGCTTTTTGGAGATTTCTGGAATTTGGGGGGAGGGGATATTTTCAATCCACTGTTGGTTGAATCTGCACATGCAGAACCAGTGGATACAGAGGGCCAACTGTATGCATTAACTTTTAGCTAAACAGAATTAATCAGAACAAAGTATCTTACTTAAAACAAGAAATGAAATCCTTAGCCTAAGTATTTAGGTATAACTAAACTATTAAGCACTGAGTAAAAACAAGACAATGTGTTTTATACCACAGGGATATAGTGGTCCCACATCCTTGAGGACCTATAAACATGTTACAGAACTTAGTGACATGTTCATTTCCTTCTCCGAACATTTGCTGGCTACAATCTTTACATGACATGTAGAAAGAGTCACATTTGTGAATCAGATATCCCACCTACAAACTGGTATACAGAATCTGTTGAATTGCAAAGAACACCTTCCAAAGCTTAAACAAAGTATCCTTCTCTCATCTTTTTCCCCAAATCCACTGAGCAACAAAGCAGTATGTCTCATTAACCTATTTTTAGGGACTCAATTTTCCATACTTGGATAGGCTATATCTATTAATCAACCTATGAATCAAGCAATATTTGCAAGTGTGCTGGTTAAACCCATGGAGTTTCAAATGGGACACTTTAAAATAAAACAAAACCATCTTATCCAGAAGAGCTAACTCATGTGTCCTCCTAACAATGTAAGTCATCATTAATTCCTTATCTCTTTTGGAACACAGGTAAGAACCAAGAACAAAATAAAAAACCTTTCAGCAATCCATCTACAGATCAAGGTCTAGTTTGTTCACAGACTTTTCTCATAGAGGAGACCCTCCCTCCATACCGTGTAGGTCTACACTTTTATAAACCAGACCCCCTATCAGGTGCTAGGGATACAAAGACTAAAGCAGTGTTTTTTTTCTGGGTTTTCTTTTCTTTTTTTTTTTTGCCTGTAGGGGAAGGGAAGCACTTTTTACCCTTGCAGGGGTTGCTATACTTGTTCTTAAACAGCTAGATAATAAATATTTTTGGCTTGTCAGTTCTGTCATAACTACTCATACAACTCTAACAGTGAAGCAGGAATGCAGCCATAGACAGAAGTAATGGGCATGGCTGTGTTCCAATGAAACTATTTACCAAAACAGGAGTCTGGACTTTTGTCAACTCCTGTGAATCTGATGAAAGCTATGGATCTTTTCTCCCTAGAAAACTGCATATACATATACAAGTTTAAACATTACTTCAGAGGTTTCATATGCCCCCTGAAAACCATGATTACTGGACCTAGTTAAGAACTCCAGGACCAGACAAATATATATCCTGCTCTCAAGGCACAGTTATTCAAATCTTTATTATTCTAACAGTCTTGGTCCCCTGGTCTTTGAGCCCCAAATAGATTTAAAATAAAGGGGTGAGGGGTAAAAAAACATAGAAAGGAAGTTAGAGATTACTATAGTCAAACTGGCAACAGCAAAAAGGGTCACCATGATAGGAAATAAGAAAACTACATAAGGCAGAATTCAAAAATACTATAGACCACTTTATATGTCTTATACAAACAGATCCTGGTGTTACCACTATATAAAATTATTGTCTTTGTAATAATGATGTGAATACAGGGAGTTTTTTTAAAGATAGTAATTCTTTTAAAGATCGGAAGAAATATAAATGGCCAGCCAATAAGCACATGAAAAAATATTCAACATCATTAACCACCAAGTAAATGCAAATGAGAACCACAATGAGATACTTCCTACTCACATGGCCAAAACCAAAAGGACAGACTATGGCAAGTGTTACTGAGGATGTAGACAAATTGGAATCCTCATGCACTGCTGGTGGGAATGTAAAATGGTACAGCTGCTTTGGACAATGTTAAAACAGAGTTACCGTTTAGCCCAGCAATTCACTCCTAGGTATATACCCAAAAGAACCAAAACCCTATGTTCACACAAAAATTTGTACACCAATGTTCATCAACTAATGAGTGGATAAACAAAATGTAACATATTCATATAATGGAATCTTACTTGGCAATAAAAAGAATGAAGTGATGATAGATACTACAATATACATGAACCTTCAAAACATACCAAGTAAAAGAAGCCAAACATGAAAGAACATATGTCGTATGATTCCACTTGTATAAAATATCCAGAATAGGCAAATCCACAGAGATAGAAAGTAGACTTGTGGTTCCCAAGGGGCTGGGGATGGAGGGATAATGTATATGGTGTTTCTTTTGGGGTGATGAAAATATACTGAAATTAGATAGCAGCAATACTTGTACAATACTGCAAATATTCTAAAACCACTGAATTATACACTTTAAAATCATAAGTTTTAATGGTACGTGAATTGTTATTTTAAAATAATAAAGACAGGAATTCAATAAATTTTAGAAGCAACCTCATTTAAAAACACCAAGTCACTCAGTTTTTAAAATAATATTATCTTAAAAAATATTTTTGTTTGTTTATTTATTTATTTATATTTTTGGCTGCGTTGGTCTTAGTTGCAGCACTCAGGATCTCATTGTGGCATGCAGGATCTTTGTCGCAGCGCACGGGCTTCTCTCTAGCTGTGGCATGCAGGTTTTCTCTCTCTCTAGTTGTGGCGCACGGGGGGCTCCAGAGCACGTGGGCTTTGTAGTTTGCAGCAAGCAGGCCCTAGTTGCGGCGTGCAGGCTCAGTAGTTGCAGCGCGTGGGCTTAGTTGCCCTGCGCCATGTGGGATCTTAGTTCCCTGACCAGGGATCGAACCCGAGTCCCCTGCATTGGAAGGCGGATTCTTTACCACTGGACCACCAGGGAAGTCCCACCAAGTCACTCATCTTTAAATCAGGATTAAAAAAGCACTTATTTTAATACATTCCTTTAATACCTAACACAAGGTTTCACAGACCTGAGTAACATACAGAGCCTTTTAAGGAAAAAGACTTTTGAGGATTTCCAATATTAAGTTTTTTATGATTATGTACAAGCTAAACTAGATATAAATAAATTCATTTAGGTTTTATACAAATGAAACTATAAAAACAACTACCAACAAAAATATTAACGGAATACATTGGAGGTTTTGCTGAAACAAATTAGCCATTTGCTGTGTGAATGTGGTTCAGACTGCTATGGGTTTCTCTTTGAGTTTGGCATGTTATGTATTATGTTTACTGTGTAACATGATGACTCAATTCATCCATTTCTCTTTATCTGAAGTGCTCCAAATCTTCATTTGAACAGCACGTCATGACATCACATCACGTGGCTTTCTCTTGGAAGCAGATGCATCCTTTATGTATTAAAGTCAGACTCAGTTTTTTTTTTTAATTTATTCATTTTGGTTGTGCTGGGTCTTAGTTGTGGCATGTGGGACCTTCGCTGCGGCATGTGGACTTCTTGGTTGCAGCATGAGGACTTCTTGGTTGCAGCATGCAAACTTCTTGGTTGCGGTATGCGGACTGCTTAGTTGTGGCATGCATGCAGGATCTCGTTCCCCGACCAGGGATCGAGCCTGGGCCCCCTGCATTGGGAGTGCAGAGTCTTACCCACTGGACCACCACGGAAGTCCCCAGACTCAGTTCTTATCTCCAGAACCCTAGATAACTAAAGCAGTACTACTTGGTACCAAATAGTGCCTGAAATTTTATGGCTATTCTCTATGAGGTAGCAATTTAGATGATTCAGAATATTTTTTCTTCAGATCATGAAATAATCTTTAAATTCTCATAGAGAATTCACGGAACCCACCAATCCAACCCCTCCCCAAGAAGACTTCAAGTTTCAGAAATACTGGGGTAGCTTAAATTGTATTTCATTGATTCTAAAAATTGTACATTTCCCCCCATTTTACCATCTCTGAAATTGGGATATATCTTACTACTGATGGTATGTCATAGTTTAACTTTCAGTGTTTTTTTCTTTCTTACTGTCTCATAAAATAATGCTGTGTGTTTCAATTGTTGCTAACTTGGATTCCATGAAATACAGTAGGTATTCCATGAATAGTGGACGAAACAAGATGCAGATTTAAATATATACAATAAAAGACCAAGTATATAATTGAAAAAAATAACAGTACCAAAAAGAAACTTAAAAGGGCACAACCTCACTTATCTGGAAAATCTGCTACACAAAATAAGAATCAAGCCAAAGCAATCTTGCTGGGGAAAAAAACGGAGCTGGAGGAATCAGGCTCCCTAGAGCCCGCACTCCGCAACAATAGAAGCCACCACAGTGAGAAGCCTGCGCACCGCAACAAAGAGTAGTGCCCACTCACTGCAACTAGAGAAAGCCCTTGCGCAGCAACGAAGATCCAACGCAGCCAAAAATAAATATTTTTTAAAAAAATTCTATTTGAGAGTAAGATGGTTCTAGTTTTCTACGTCATTACGAGTAAATTCTTTGTGAGAAAAATTAATGTAAAAACAATTATTTCATCAAACAAATTTTATTATAATTGGCACCCCTCTCCCAATTCCTGTTAAGCCCACCAAAATGGGGACAAAAGTGAAGGTTTTGAGCTAATTAAAGTTAGGTTTAAATTTGCCCTGGACCAAATAAACCCAATTTCCATGAAGTACATACTTCCTAATTCACTGAAATTAATTCCTTGAGTATTAAAATGTAATTCATGCCATCTACCTCAGGGTTCTTGAGAAACAAAATTTAAATATGTATAAAGCACCTAGTCAAAAAACCACTGAACCACTGAACAAGTCAAAAAACAAAAACAAAGCCATGTTCTGCCTCCTATGTGAAGCCTTAGAAGCATACCAACAGAGATATTCATAAATGACTTAGAATTGATGAAAAACTTGATAGTAAGCAATCAGAAATATAACTACTATTTTGAATAAAGGTTTTTTACAGACTATGAAGCAGAACCACATATCATAAGTTATAGTCATAAACTCTCTTTAGATTACTCAAGTACCCAGAACTCATCCTGTATCAACCAACCTCTTCAGTTGCACTCACACATATCACAGATACCATCTTTGAACAAGAAAATAAAAACAAACCTGACCTGAGGACATATTAAATTTTTAATTCAATAACATTCATTTAGTGCAATTTCATCTCAAATAAATTACATTTTACAGTCTGGACTCTTGATGACCAGTCAAGAACACACTTAAAAATTAAATGCAAATCTTAAATTATTACTTTAAAACTATTTTGAATTAGCATTTGAGCATCTTGTATTACCTTGTAAAATGCCTGCCATTAGTATGTTTCTCCGTTACTTCCATATTCTTATCAAAACTAGAATCTGAAGAATTCTGTGCATTTTTTCTCAAGCACCTTAAAGCACGTGTCTGGTGGTAGGTTTCAACTTCCTTAACTGAAGACCCATCCTTTAAAAAAAAATTAAGAAAGACATCTAAGTTTTTCTTCAGTCAAATCCCCAAGTTAAACTCCTAAGATTTGTCTCTGATTAAGTTTTAACAACTGCTTTTGGTGCACAGTATCATTTTTGCATCTCCCCAAGAAACGAAAATAATTAATCTCTAGAATAATCATTTTACAATGAACAAACATGAGCAATGTCTATGAGGCGGCTAGTATAAGATTTATTAATGTTTTATAGTTCTACTTCACAACAAGTAGTCTCCAGTGAAATTTTCTACCACTGATAAAAAGTTGTAATAGTTCATAACAGTAAATACTCCTCTATTTTAAGGCTACAGAAATTAGAAAGATACGCATACACCATGAAACCACTGGAAACAACCCTAAAATGACTGGACTGTCAGAAGTGTAATTTGGCTTGGATGACAAAAAGGAGTTATTACTATCTCACACAATTTCACCCACATAATGTAAAACATGAATTTAGAGACTGTTTAGGTACGTTAATTTCTTGTAAAAACCACAGAGCTCTATTTAACTTTATTTTTGCTCAAGAGACTACAGGCTCTCTAAGTTACTGGGTTGCTTTATGAGCTACAGAGTGTAATAAAGTATTCAAAATTTCATACATGCCTCTTAGAAATCATACAGAGGATACTTTTACGTTAGAAGAGAAGGCAAATGTACCTAACAACTCTATAATCCTATGTCTTACTACTCTAAAAACTTATAATTTTAGAAAAACAGGCAGTGTTTTTTTAAAAAACAATAAAACATCAGTGCCCCCTTACCCCATGCGCCTCAGGCTGGCTTTACCTGGTCATTTCATTATATTTTATTAGGATATTTTGTTTCAGGAAGAATATTTGATTGGTTCAAAGGTAAAGTAAGGATATTTACACCACAAGGATCTGTGCAAGAATTAGACACGTTCTTAAAGGCACGAAAGGACAATTAAAAAAATTAGTTTCTTCATAAGGTATTAAGTGATACGTATGATTTGTTACTTTTATCAGTGTACCTATATTTCAGGATGTTTCAAAAAAGAATACCTATACATTTAGGTAGGTGTATTATTTTTTAGATGAATACCTACCTACATCTTAGATGGGTGTAGTGTAACGTAAGACTTTCCAAGGAAAATTGTAAGGGTATCTATTTCCACTCTCTCAACTTCCATGTGTACTTTTTCTTAAAATGGACCTAAGGGCTTCCCTGGTGGCGCAGTGGTTGAGAGTCCGCCTGCCGATGCAGGGGACACGGGTTCATGCCCCGGTCTGGGAAGATCCCACATGCCGTGGAGCGGCTGGGCCCATGAGCCACGGCTGCTGAGCCTGCACGTCCGGAGCCTGTGCTCCGCAACGGGAGAGGCCACAACAGTAAGAGGCCCGCGTACGGCAAAAAAAAAAAAAAAAAAAAAAACCAAAAAAAAAAAAAAAAAAACGGATCTAAGAAGGCATCTTAACACAAGGCATCCTCTTTCATTTACCTTTCTCCCATTTTACAAAAGAAAGTCATAACTCTCACTCATTCTGAATCTTACTATTGTGGGCTGCTTCAAGGCATTAAAAACCTTCCTAAAGCCAAAGAAAAACACTAATGTAGGTGTTAAGCGAATGAATGACTAAGCTAGGCAACAAATCCTTTCCTTTGTTACGTGGTTTCCAATTCTTCCGCTTTTAACAAAATTGAAAGGAGACCTAATCAAGCTAAGAGACCATTAAAAATGTTTGGCAAGTGATTTTCTGCTTATAAGCCAGAAAAACTGAGTGGCACTGCAAATATAATTCCCTTCATTACTATCTACTTATTTATATGAACAATGTTTCTCAGTGCTTACCTTTATAAAAACAATGAAACTAATGACAAAACACTCTTCAGCAATAAATAAGATTTATCCACAGGGGAGGGGGAAGGGTAAGCTGTGACAAAGCGAGAGAGAGGCATGGACATATATACACTACCAAACGTAAGGTAGATAGCTAGTGGGAAGCAGCCGCATAGCACAGGGAGATCAGCTCGGTGCTTTGTGACCGCCTGGAGGGGTGGGAGGGAGGGAGACGCAAGAGGGAAGCGATATGGGAACATATGTATATGTATAACTAATTCACTTTGTTATAAAGCAGAAACTAACACATCATTGTAAAGCAATTATACTCCAATAAAGATGTCAAACAAAAATCAAAAAACAAAAAAACGAAAAACAAAAAAAGAGATTCATCTACAGATACTTAAACTAACTGGGTGGGCAGGGAGACTTAAACCACATGAAATCCTAATAAAAGATTACTTCCTATGTTTAATCATTTTTAATCAAAATAGATACTTTTTTGTTGTTTTGATCAATTGAATGTTAATAATGATAATTCAATACACAAAAATTTTATTTCTTGGAGCTCTGTCATCACGGAAAAGTGGAAAAAATCCAACTTTTGTTTTATAAGTATGAAAGGATAATTAATAACTGACTTTCAAGCATGAAAATATATCAAGATAAAATGCTGTGGGTTAAGTGGATTGAAAATACAAATTAAAAGAGGGAAAAAAAAGAAGGTAAAATTTCTGACTACTAAGAGAACTTGTTCATGTATTAATTTTTTTTTTTTGCGGTACGCAGGCCTCTCACTGTTGTGGCCTCTCCCGTTGTGGAGCACAGGCTCTGGACGCGCAGGCTCAGCGGCCATGGCTCACGGGCCCAGCCGCTCCGTGGCATGTGGGATCTTCCCGGACCGGGGCACGAACCCGTGTGCCCTGCATCGGCAGGCGGACTCTCAACCACTGCGCCACCAGGGAAGCCCCATTTATTAATTTTTAATGTTTCAAGACAGGTATCAAATAACTATAATTTTTACATTCCAGTGGATACTTATAAAAGTGTGATGTAATAGTTTTATTTTTTAATGTCAACCTTAAAAAATGACAGAAATGATCCCTTTGTAACTACTTAAACCTATGCGGGGGGCGGGGGAGACCTTACATCTAAGGTCAGCTTAAAAATGTAAAAGCTGGTACTTCCCTGGCGGTCCAGTGGTTAAGACTTCACCTTCCAATGCAGGGGGTGCGGGTTAGATCCCTGGTCAGGAAGTTAAGATCCTACATGCCTCAGGGCCAAAAAACCAAAACATAAAACAAGCAATATTGTAACAAATTCAATAAAGACTTTTTAAAAAATGTGAAAGAGATTATAGAGCTAAAAAAATTTGGAAATGCAGGGGAAAACTTTCATGACATTGGATTTGGCAATGATTTCTTAGGACACCAAAAGCACAGATAACAAAAGAAAAAACAGATCAGTTGAACTTCATCAAAATTAAAGAACTTTTGTACAAAGGACATTATCAGTAGAGTGAAATGGAAACTCATGGAACAGGAGAACATATTTGCAAATCATGTATCTGACAATGACAAAGGACTGATATCCACAATATATAAAGAACTCCTATACTTTTAAAACCACCAACAAAAAAAGATAAAAATGGGCAAAATATTTAAATAGACATTCCTCTGAAGAATATACACAAATGGTCAATACACATGAAAAGATGCTCAGCATAAGTAGTCATAAGGAAATGCAAATCAAACCCAATGAGATACCACTTCACACTCATTAGGATGGCTATTATCAAAAACAAAAAAAGAAAAAAGAAAATAAGTATTGGCAAGGATGTGAAGAAACTGGAACCCTTGTGTACACTGTGGAAAATGATATGGCAATTCCTCAAAAAATTCAACACAGAATTACCATATGATCCAGCAATGTTGCTTCTGGGTATATACTCAAAAGAAGTGAAAGCAGGGACCTGAAGAGATACTTGAACGCTCATGTTTATAGCAGCATATTCACAACAGCCAAAAGGTGGAAGCAATCCCAGTGTTCATCAACAAATGAACGGATTAAAAAATATATATATATATACATATATATAGTACATACAGTGGAATATTATTCAGTCTTAAAAATAAAGGAAATTTTAAACACACTGAAATAACATGAATGAACCTTGAATACATTATGCTAAGTGAAATAAGTCAGTCACAGAAGAAGTAAGGTTCCTTTTATGAAGCTCCTTGCCAGGGGCTGGGAAGAGGGAAAATGGTGTGTGTGTGTGTGTGTGTGTGTGTGGCGTTGGGTTTTTTTTGGCAGGATCTCTGTTTCCCGACTAGGGATTGAACCTGGGCCGCGGCAGTGAAAGGGCTGAGTCCTAACCACTGGACTGCCAGGGATTCCCAGGGGAGTTAGTGTTTGATAGGTACAGAGTTTCAGTTTTGCAAGATGAAAAATTCTGCACGCAGAGGGTGGTGATGGTTGCAGAACAATGAATGTACTTAATATTACAAAACTATACACTTAAAAATGGTTAAAATGATAATTTTATGTTATCTATATGTTATTACAATAAAAAAAAGAAAGTAAATGTCACTATATTCCTGGGGATAAAAAAAAAAAAGTTTGTTTCCATAGGAAAAAAGAAAGGAGGGAGTTGCTAAATACTGGGAAAAAGATTCCTTGAGAAACTTAGAAGATTTAATCTTATAAGTGAATCTTTGATTTGCATAGTGAGTGGCTTACTTCATCATCCCTAAATAAGCACTAAGCATCAAGAAAGGCTCTCCTTAACAGCATGGAGAAAAAAACAAAACAGGCTTTTTGGGAGTCACCTATATAAAGGCGCATACTGGGGAATTTAAAAATATAACTTTCAAAAATGGTTTTTATAAAAGCAATATAAAAATAAAAGCAATATGTGCCCATTATAATCAGAAAAATGAAGAAATGTACAAAGATGAAACTGTCACCCTTAATTCCAAGCTACCCACAGATAACCACAGTTAACCTTTTGGTGCATAAACCATTCTTTTCCTTTGCAAACACATTCACACAATTTTAAAATTGCGATAATATTATTTATTCTTTGTTACTTTTTTCTAGTAATACAACCATTTTCCCATGTCATAAAATCTATTCTAAAAATCTTTTTACATGAATGAATAGTATTTCAGCCAT